GATAAGTTAATCCTGGTGGATATTTGGTAGAGCCCAGATGTGTCTGAGATCGCCAAAAACAGGTCTCCTTGTTTGAGCACCATGCCCCACCTGGAATAAATACAATCCAATTGTTTGAGTTTGTTTCAGATTTCCTTAAAAAGTATACGCCAGGTGTTCCGTCAATACACAAAGCTCCTGTTTCATTTGCTCTCTCTATAACCATTCGTTGATATTCATTTGGCATTGGATGTGAAATTGTGTGATAAACATTCTCGTAATCAGGGCTGCACGATTTTTCCGATCTCCTTTGTGGTCGTAAAACGTGTATGTAGTTTTCTTCTGTACGCAGGTACAATTTTAAGGCAAAGCCGAGCCATAATATCAATAACAGTGTTACAGACCTTGTCATGGTGCATGCGATTAAGTTTTGATTTACTAACGAGTACAGCGTTAAGCCAGCTCGTATCAAGTAAGTAACCTAGGTTACTTACAATATTTGGATATGAATTTACCATCATAGAATCGATTGGTCTTGACATCGTCAGAAACATTTCACGAGAAATTAAACCGTTTTGATCGATTTTTCGGATTTAGTTAAGAAAGCGAAAATACTCATGAGTGATCGATATTTTAGTTTATAATTCGACAACAACCTGAAAAGGCCGGCGTTACCTATTTGCTTATTATTATAATTTCCTGATGGATTTTTCACAACATGTTGAGCCTGCGCACATCCAGCGGATATATCCTCAAGCATTTCAAATCGAGAAGGAAACTAGCCGTACACTATTAAAAGATGCGTTTGTGTCGCTACTTAATTTGCTCTCGTACCGTAGCAGTCTTGTAATCTAGGATATTAAACTATATTGATACGAAACAATTTCTAAATATCATGGCTTTCTTTAGGAAAAAGGTTTCGAGTGCATACCACTACCTTRTACTGTAAAGCTAAGAAAGCAAACGTTTGCATGCATTTTCCTTTACTAAAGTATAGTCAGAATGCACTCTTTTTTTCAAAAAGTAGCAAAAACTGTTATATTTTTCTCGAAACAATTATTATTGTTTGTGTACATACGTGAACCATGGCACAATCACCCGTTTGTAATCAATAAGACAGAAATCCTAATTTTTAACAATGAAGATACATTTAACACTGATAATTATCATCTTTGAATATATAGATTCGCAAATGATTGTCCTTTAGGGACGTCATTTTAGTAGTGTGATAACATTGGCAAGAAGTACTTTGCAGGTCAAGTCGATATAGTTCGTCAAGTTTTGAAAACATCTTAGCAGGTACTGCTATGACATCAAATTATGTAAAACATCTCTAGTAGTTTGAGACGAAAAAGTACTGTTAATCTCTTAATGAAGACTTAATATGGGGTGGTTTTCCACTGTTGCATTTTTATTGCTAATTGGGMCTTCTATGCAAGCCCCTAAGCCCAATAGCATAGACGGTGAARCAACTAATCGCCTTCAAAACCATGATTATGAGCAGACTAGTCATGTGGAAGACGAATCAGCAAGTAGTTCAGCCAGCTCAAGCATCGATCAAGATGACCTACAAGGACACACTGAATCGTCAAGCGATGATCCAGAAGAAAATGAGGGTTCAAATGACGACGATGTCGATTCTGTGGGCTCATATATTAAAAAGAGTGCCGTCAGAAGGGCACCACAAACCAACCCTACAAACATTGACTCCGATGCATCTTACATTTCACGCGAAGATCAGGACGATGGAACCGTTCGCGATGCAATACTTGGGAAAAATAACGATAATGGCGATAATGATGACGATAAAAATGATGATGAAGATGATGCTGGCAGTAACCGTGATGAAGCGACATCAACATTACAAGGAGATTCTGTGGCGTCGTACATCAAACAGGAAAATGGATATACAAAAGATACAATAGGTAGTGCAAAGCCTTTAGATGAGGACTCGGTAGCGCCTTACATTGCTATGAATAAAGGATCGCCCAGACATTCCATACCACAATCAGATCATAATAATCCAACAATAACACTCAAAAAATCGAATGCCCTAAAAGGTTTGGAGGGAGATTCAGTTGCGCCTTATATTGACATAGGAGATGGATCATCTAGAGATACTATACCGTCACAATCTAATCCCGATATAAATGAACCTATTTCACCAAAAACAGACTCTGTAGGCCCTTATATAAGCCTTGTAGATGAGGACAATCAGCAATCGGATACAGAATCCTCCACTCATAGTGAAGGAAGCGGTGAGGTACAAGAGCTGTCCGGAGATTTGGATTCTGAAGACCATAAGTCTCGCAAGACCCAGGAAATCCTTCAAGGTCTGGAAAACATATCAACAGAGGAAAGAAAAGTAGTGAAAAGTTCGAAAATGGATCAGTTAAGTCCAGATGTCATTAAACCCCATCAAATGGTGTCAGAATTTTGGCTGGAGAGATCAGCTTTTTCATCACCGACGCCACAAATGAGCAGTACACCATACGATGACGAGCCATTTAATGACCAAACGATGTTCACCCAACCTCAATACATCTATGTAGACTTAAAACAAGCAGATCAAAAAGGAGCAGTTTGTTTAGATGGCTCCACCCCAGGGTTTTTCTACAGGCAAGGTTTGGGTAGTGGTCAGAAAAAGTGGATTATATACCTCCAGGGAGGAGCATGGTGTCATTCTAAGATGGATTGCTATGAACGCAGTCAATCAAACTTAGGCTCCTCTTTGAAATTCAACACCCTTATCAACGTCGAAGGACTTCTGAGTCGCGATTTCAAATCAAACCCTCATTTCTATGACTGGAATGTTGTGTATGTACCTTACTGTGATGGTGCATCCTACACAGGGAACCGTACCAAACCCGTCGAAATCAAAGACAAGATGATATACTTCAGAGGAAAGAGAATTCTCAGTTCTTTAATGGATGATTTGCTAGGGTATGGAATGAACGACGCTGAAAACGTTGTCTTCTCAGGCACATCTGCCGGTGGTTTGGCAGTTCTCCTACATGCAGACTACGTTAGAAGCCGCATCCCCTCGAAGGTTAATGTCTATTCTTTAGCAGATGCAGGAATCTTTTTGAATGTTGCTAACATGAAAAAGAAAAATCAGTTTGGAGATTTAATGTCAAAGGTTTACAAGCTACATGGTTCATCTAAGTCGATCAAGCACAARTGTGCAGTTCATGAAGGCAGAGGCAACCGCTGGAAGTGCCTCTTTCCCTATTACTTTGGAAAGTACATCGATTCTCCTGTGTTTGTCATCAATCCACTTTACGACTCATGGCAGCTGGGAAATGTAATTGGAATCCATTGCACTAAAAATCTTAACAAATGTTCCAAGAAAGAAATGAGAGCCATAATTGACTTTCGAAAAAGAACTCTAACGGCCTTAGAACCTTTAATGAAAAATCCAAACGTCACCCTTTTTGCCGATGGCTGTTTTGATCATGGGCAAATTACGTTTGGACCCAAATGGAATGAGATCCGCGTAAAGAATCGTTCAATGTCCGGGTCTTTTGCCCGTTGGATGCWGAAAGAAGAAAATACAAGAGCAATTGTGGATCCTGAATTAGAAGATCAGCTTTTTAACCCTACATGCGTAACGCATAACATAAAGATCTCCAAAAAGTCTTTTACTAATGATTAATGATTGGTTTACTGCAAAATTTAACCAATTGAATTGAAAAACGGTGTCAAGTACTTTCACGATAACACGCACTATAAGATCATAGACACTGAGACTGAAATAGCATCGATAAACTAACAATGTGATRTGATCGTTGATAGCATGAATGAGACTCAGAAATGAGGTCAAAATAAGCAAGACAATAGTGCAACCACATGCAAGCAAACTAAAACAATATTAACAATTTTGTCCAAGTTGGATTGCTAACTTAACTTTCTTCTGGTTTGCCTTATTATCGAAATCTACAAATTGTCAGTAGCTCAATGCTGAAACACTTCTAATTTTAATGTAGCTATGCATTTTAGAATAAAGATTTTTTTCTATTCTTGTTTTCTATTTAAACAATAGAGTAGTTCAATCAAAGACATTATTAGAGAGTTTTAGCATCACGTTGACGGCAAACGGCTAACGGCAGAGCTGAGCCAATGACCTAAGAATTTCGTGCCCGACCTTGTGCTTTTGGTAGTCATTTGAAAGAGCGGCTTTTCACGATTATGGCAACCTCAAAGTAACCCGCTCTCGGGTTGAAACTGCAACGTTAAACTCAAAAACGCAGGTCACGTGATCTTTTCTGCCGTTTGGCGTTTGCCGTGAACGTCATGCTAAACCTCTCCAATATTATGCGCCGAGAGGGGAGGGGCCCCGGCGGGCACTATCAGGTCACGTGATCGGCTCGATCACTGAGTGGAGGAAAATTTGTGGTTGAATTATAAATCTTTGTAGAATCCTAGCCTCGATTGTTTGCCGATTTTTCACAATGTGCATATGTCTCAAATAACTAAATATTATCCAACAATGAGCACTTGGAATTTTGAGTAACATTTGATGGATGCGTTGTGGTGCAGTTGTACTCAAATTTTCTCTCTTTTTTTTTCGATTTCCCTCGATGTAACCATGGTCTAGCATCGATAACTACACCGTAATTGGCCTGATAGGTCTATTCAGTAGCCAATAGCAATACAGAAATTGTGATAGTTATGATGCAAAAATCATAGAAATATTATTCGACGAAATACTAATTAAAACAAACTTGCGGTTCGCCAGAAACAACTTTTATTGTAAATCATGTGCACACTACATTATTAGTTATCACTTGAAAATCAAACTGATTATCAAAATGAACAAGTTTCCGAATGGGTGAAAAGGAAACATTGCGGCTTAATTAAGTGCATTATCTCAGCTGTAATGAAATGTCTTACAGGACAATCTTAAAAGTAACAGCCATGAGAGCCATGATAATTGCCAAGTGGTTAGCCAAGTGATTGGGGCCACTTCCCGTTGGCTTAGCAGTCGTCGAACTGTCTGCCTTGTAGGTTGTTTGAATTATGCGACCGTTGAGAGGTTCCACTGGGCGATAGTTGTCCACCAGCTTTGTGGTGTTGGTCTCTTGTAGATTACGTAGAAGGTCAAGCTTTTTTAACAAAAAAAAAGAAAGAAAAAAGAAAAAAAAGAAAGAAACAATTACCGTTTATACTCATGTGAAGTAGTTGGCAATGTTTGTATATATTGGTCATAGTTGTTTTTTATAATAATTGACTGAAATTGGGATTTCACTGGCATTGCATATAGCTGCAGGAGATCCTAGGGTTAATGATTTTCTCAAACAGTGCGGCCACAAAACATTGTGAATACCTAGTGATTGACACTGTATTCAGGGCAATCAACGTATGAGAGAACACATTAAAGTGTGTTAAAAGTCTCACCAAATCCTACCTGGGCTTTGGACATAGTTGCTGTCTTGTTAAACACCGTCCAGGTGACTACTTCGTTACAGGTGGGAGTTGTCAAACCACCGCTATAGCGATAGAAATGGTCGGTGTTGCTTGGCAGTAGACCTTTCAGGGTTTGCGTTTGAGAGACGCCCTTAATCTCAGAATCGCCTGTGATGTCAAAATAGTATATCGGTGTTAAAAATCTTAATGTTCGAAAAACAATCTAACGTAAATGAATATATTAATATACAGGGTAACATAATCGTATGAGGAAGTGGCTGATCCCATTAAAGAGTGCTCAAAACACATAAAGTGTAGAGCTAGTTATATATATGATACCAAAGAGGAAAGATTTTGCTGTGACTCCGAGTTTCGTGCTACGCACTCATCAGACAGTATTTAATGCGTAGCACGAGGCAAGATTTTGCTGTAACTCCGAGTTTCGTGCTACGCACTCATCAGACAGTATTTAATAGGTTAACATATATTGAGAGAAAGAGAAATGAATTAATCAGACCATAWTCCCTACAGAACTGTTTCGTAAGTTCACTCGTCAGGTTGATTTATAAACATTCAAGAGGCTTCAATGAATATATTGCATGTGGAAGGCTATTGACATAGTTGTTCAATTAAAGTTATCAAATTCATTAATAATTCATAAGGTAAACACAATGGAAAATCATTGCCGTGACCGCATCTTTATATGAGCAAGAGATTTGTCCTGATTTGCATACGACTTTAACTTCGATTTTCTCTTACAAATGATATTTTATCCTGGWGTTTTTTTCGAAATATGCTTTACCTTATGTTGGGATTTGATAAGCAATATAAAATATTCGCGTCCGACCTTTATGGGCTATAAAACTGCTCGCTTGCAGCTCGCAGTTTTAAATGCCGATAAAGGTCTCCCGCTCATATTTTATATATTACACTTAATTCTTACAGATGCTTTTCTTCTGTACGATGATGTGAGTATACGGTAACTATATGTACATAAGCATAATTTCAAAGTGTCTTATTGATTTGCAATCTTATTCAGTGCAGGGGCGGATCCCAATGGTGGGTGCAGGCGGTGTCCCTCTGAGACCTTGCATTCTATTTTTGTCTCCTTTGTCATCATATTTGTGGAGTGCACCCTCCTCGGAGTGCCTTGCACCACTCCCTGAAGAAAATCCTGTATCCTCCCCTGAGACTGAATTTAATCACCTGAAATTACCTGTGATACACCCAATATAATGATATATGTTAATGGTCAGAATTTTGAAAATGGCTACTGTAATCATTATGGTGTATTCATGATACGTACGGTTTGTGACGTTAACAGTGTACTTCAAGAAGGATTGAAGTGCAGCATTTTCGTCTCCAACCTATGAGATGAAAATAAGAAGATAGATTTGTTTAAAAAATACTTTAAAAACTCTTTTATGGAGTGATTAGTCCAAACAAGTGAGTGATTTAATTAAGAAATTTGAAAAATACATTACCTCAAAAAAGATGCCAAGGACTGCAAGTCCATCAGCATGCGCCAAGGACGCGCTAAGGTTGGCGTATTTCGAGTTGTAGTGAACCAAATGAAGCTAAGGAGAAAAAGCATGCCGCATGCATTAATTAAAATAATGATAACCTTTATTTGTCACAAAAGTAKCACAAAATAACACATCTATGTTACATCAAATGTTCAAAAACGAATCGATTCATGAAAGTGTTCGTGGAGCTCAGTTCCGAAAATTATGAGACTGGGGTCTCGTGTATATGCGAATAACGATAAACATTTTCGAATTCATAGCGCAAAACCGCTGCTTTATTTGAAAACAGATTCTCTTGCGCAAAGAACTGACCAAACACAAAAGAGAGCACGAGAAAATGTCGTTATTACAATAGTCTTCAAAATTTGCATTTTCCCCGATTTGAGACTAACCCTGTATTCCCATGAGACCTAAGGTATGAGCCTTCTGGGAATACAGGGTTAGCCTCAACTTGGGGAAAATGTAAATTGTTAGCGCTACATGTATTGTATTGTACAACCAACATTTTCTCGTGCTTTCTTTTGTGTTTGGTAAGCTCTTTGCGTAAGAAATCTGCTGTCAAATAAAACAGCGGTTATTCTCTTTGAATTCGAAACTGAAGTATTAAAAATAGGGGGGGGGAGGAAAAGTGGTATTTTCCCACGACATAAAAAGTTCAATTTTCAGGTGTTGAAATGCTTCCAATTTTAAATTCTCCGTTTTTATCATAATTCCCGATTTCTTCAATTGCTCATGCTTCTTCARTGTTGATTCTTCGAGGTCTTGTCCGCCTGTATCTATCGGTATTCGTAGCGTTTTCAAGCATTTCCACTACAAAGACGGATAAATGTGGACGCAACTCTCGAAGGTAATTTGCGGAATCAAAAACATTCGGCTTCACTTGAAAGATGCTGACAATGAATTCATCTTACCTCGGCTGGATACATCTTGTCATCAACAGTATGCTCAGATCCTTTACTTGCGTCGGAGCCCCAGTGAAGATGAAACGAATGCAGCTTGTAGGTCCCTTCCAGTCCCCCATCTTTGATAGAGAAGGTGTCGGGTTTCACAGTGACTGCGAATGTGTGCCCGTTGTTTTTTATGTCCACATCTGCTTTAGTCTCGTACCCGGTCATTGTWAGTGAACCAAGATTTGCGTATTGGGCTTTCGACACCTCAATGTTGACCGGTGTTTGTTTAGTTCCGTTGCAATAATTTGGGAAAAGTTGTGCCCATCTGTTTGGACCTGGACAAAAACGAAATAAAGTAATTGATGATAATAATAACAAGGATAGCTTGATATTTATGCATATGGTAAATATAGAATAAAACGTGAATACCTGTTGAATTGACATTTTCATTAAACCATTGTTGTAAAACTAGGTAAACAGCTTGCATTGATTGACAGGGACTGCGCAATATTTATCTGGAGGGTATGGGGGGAGAGGGGGGGGGGAAGCTTTCAAATTCAATAAGTATTTGGAGTTAATTTAGACGTAGACGTACTTAATTTTAGAAATCCCTTCCCCCCCTCTAGCAGATATCCTATCAGGAGATATATATGCAAAACATGTTATACATGATTTTGCTTACCTTTGCCACTAGAGGTGCTGTAATCATAATCTTTAAAAAAACAATGATTGTAATTTGATTAATAATATTTATCATTACACATTGAATGATATTAGATGTTTTGATAGTGGAGGGCTACAATTTTGCTCTGCTTGACGCTTGACCCCATTAAGACACTCTTGCGCGGATAGGTATGCAACCAAGTGAAACGACAAGTGAGCAGGTAACACCGATATCGGATCTATCATGATTTCCCTCAATAAGTCAACGAAATGTTACTATTCTGCTACCATAAACAATTATGATCATCAATGATGATTCTGAGCAAAACACCTTTTCCTTAGAATTTGTTATAAAAGGGTGCGGTCGAAAATCTCGCTAGAAAAGTAAGCGTTGGCACATCGAATCAATAAAACGAGATGAGTATGCCTATTTAGATCACGTAATCACGTCGACAGAATAAAGCCGAAAATAGCTGTTTAATTCTGACTAGTGTTATTCCATACTGTCTCTACAGTTGAACTTTGGGGCATTATGTTAATCAATTGTAATCCGGGCAGACCTACAAAGTGTAAACATTGATGGTTACAGTACATAGCAATGACTGGCAAAACGTAATTTTCCCTGTCCAGGATGTAGTTGGTGTGATACGGAGGTTTTAGTAACCTTCACCCGAGCGATGAAAATATTCCAAAAACGAAAAAAAAGTCTGATTGTCTGAAACCTTTAGTTATTCAACACGTCTAGTGGGTAGAATTACCGTCTAGAAAGAGCAAAAATGCTAATTTCACAAACTGAGTGGATTCTTGGTAGACGGCTGGACGACACTGTTTTTTTTTTGAATCGCTCAAAAAACTAATAACTAGTTAGTGCTAGTACGTTGAACAAAGTAAAATCATGAAGGAAATTTAATTGAATAGCATAAAAATGGAATTATTAAAATGTTACATTTTTTTCAAATCAATAAGTAAATAAATAAAAAAAATTGCTGATCCATTAAGTCAACAATAATACCATTTTCTATAGATGACGCTTTCTTTCTTTCACAAGAATATGTGAGTAATTGTTCTTTATCACAGATAGGAGACAATTTAAGCCCGCTGTACATTGCAATGCCAAATAGAATGACTTTCACAATCCCTTGTAACAAAGTGTAAAAGTCAAACAGTAATCATGTTTGATGCACCGAATAGATTGTACTATCCCGGGGGGGTACTACCACCCCAACGTGGGTAGAGATGTGCCGCAAGGAGCTGCAAACCTTGACCCTGTCCAAGACCTAAAATTTTGAGTTTTCATACGCTGTCACAGACTTTAACTTAACCTAAGAGTTGGACACCCTAGTTTGCTAACTTAAACCGATTTACGTTGTTTCTGTGTCGACCGAAAGCGCAGCTTACAGACTAAAACCGACCATCGCGCACCTCTATTCAAACTAAAGAGACCCCCCTTTCCCACTCTCCAAACCCCGGGTGTATTCTGTTATTTCAAAAGAGCTGATATTCTGTGTCTTATCGCTATTGGCTTTCATAAAAGGCCTGCATGACATTGTGCATGTACTTTTTTCGTTTATGCATATATATACACACAGAAAACTACCAAAGCTGAAATAAAACCTTGTTGGTTCCTTTCTCTTTTAGTCGTACTAAGTCATTCTGTTTACTGTTTACTAACACATAAGAACGGCTTTTGTACCAAATATTCGACGAGTCAACCCACCCAGGGACACGTAGACAACTAGCTAAACATTTTTAAAGATTAACTTACTGTTCAATGTAAGCATTAAAGAAAGAATTCCTTACCTGCGGCCAATATTGCTTGGACACAAATCGCCAGAAGAAGACATCCGATAAATTTCTTTGCAGCCATGATATCTCCAGTTATGAACTTTGAGTACTTCTAAGAATAAAAAGAATGTTCAGAGATAAAGATAAGGCAGTATTCGGTCTTTCCGCTTYACAAGTAGTTTTAACTTCTAAAGACCGAGATAATCGTGCAGGCTTTACKATTGATTCTGTGTAATCTGCTAATAAACCAAACCAGAAAACATCAGTGTTTCATTACCTATCTAGCAAAACTTTTCCAAGAGACGAACTTAAGTTGAGCTCTCGAATTGTCAACTGGGTAGATATGAACTTAGGGTGAACTTTCTTAAAAGGCCACCGATTGTATTGACATGCCTAGTCACACAAACAATCTTGACAGCTGGACTTCTCTATTATTAAATCTTGGCATTTGTTTGTTTTTTCGTAAAGTTGAATGAAAATATAGAGCAGTTTTCTTGTGAAATGTATTCCGTCATCTGATGGCTTTGCATAACTTTGCCAAGGCGTTTATTAATTCAGTTTTCCCATTCGGAGCCCGCCAAAGACGTGCTTTTGTTTGTTTGTTTTCGGCATATTGGATATTGGATAAGTAATAATAATGATAAATAATATAAGTAATAATAAGTAAGTTGCTTATTTGGGAAACATCAATAATGTCATTGAACCGTTTTTAAGTCCAAACCACAGATATCAAGGAAAAAATATTATATCTGTGAAATATGGAAACAGATGTTAAAACAATTTTGAGAAAAATAGGATATCGAGTGTAGTTGAAGTAATCTTTATATGGTACCTTTGTAAACAATGCTCTAATTATATAGTCACAAAAGCAAACTTTGGTGTTCATCGGTGATTGCTTGGCAAGTCATCATGTGAAATTTTAAGTCGTGAATGTCATAAATGCAGACTTACGCGCCAAAAACCCTCCTTGAAAACTTTATCAATATAATTTTTACTTGAATGCTCCTATAAGAATTGCACTAAACTTTCATTCACAATGACAATTTTTGAATAGATTTAATTAATAAACCTTGTCTGACAAGACAAGAAAAACGCGTTTTGTCACATATGCCACAGTTCCTTCCGCTTGTTCTTTTGGAAAAGTTGAAGTCAAGGCCGGGTTCACACTGGCGATTTTTAAGGTGATTTTTAAAAATATGATACACAATAATGACTGATCCCTCTGGAAACATTGAGACTCTTACGAAACAAAACTAACTGGTTTCCCAAGGGATCAGTATTTCAGTGATATTGTTATATAGGTGATGCGATTTATTTGGGTTCAAAGTAGACTCCTCACAGCGGCTGAGATACAGCAGAAACCTCTGGATTGTGACTTCAATGCTCAAGAGAAATCGTTAGGATTTCGGTTTTTCTGTGACTTTTGGACGGAGCTTGCTGCAAATCAGCCAATGACTGAACGAGTTTACAAAAATCTCCGCCCCTCAGATCGAATGATAGAACAAAATCCAAACAAACTTCGAAACGGAGAAGTCGCAATGCAACTCAATTTTTGCTGTAATGTCAAAGAAAAGCACACTTTCATCAACGGAAGGAAGAAAATCGGAAAAGAATGTAACAATATGTAAAAAAGTAAAAACCTTTGATAGTGGGTAGTATTTATTCTGTCAAAATGTTTTGCACACTCCCTACCCCTGCTAAGTATGAGAGTGACAATATCACATGTCAATTGATCATTGTCAATTTTCTTTCAAATGTACCTGTTGTTAGTCTAATGTTCAAAAAGAAAATAAATGCACCTTGAGCCTATAGTTACAAAGAAATGCAAAAAGTGCCAAAAGTGAGCTTGTTCCATAGTCTTAGAACAGGACGAACAGCAAAAGGATTTGCGACCAGAATTATTATATAAGCCTTATTAAAGTTGATGCTAGAAACAAAACGTGATAATAACAGAAGGAGCGAAAGGTCATGAGAACAGTCTGATGCGTAAGAAAATTTGGCCCATTCAAGGCACGATGATCTTGAAAAATGATTATGTAACTTCTAGTTATGTAATTATGTGGTCAAACCTCCTGGTGAAATCAATGTGGCATTTATGCATAGACGATGATCAACATTAGATAGGTTTGAGTCGGTTAATGATATAAGTAAGAGAAAAAGGAAAATAAAAAATTAGTGAGAGAGATAAAACAACTGAAAGGCTTCGCCTTACAAGTAGAATGATAAAAGTCATAGAACATCCATCAGAAACTGTGGCGTGTTTATCCGACAGTAGTCGGATGAGCTATTTTATACTAAATGCATAATGTCCTACTGTATTAAAACAGTCCTCTCCAATTGTTTTGCTCTCTTCTGCGAAAAAAAAAGAATCTGTCGTTTTTGCTTTAAAATTTGAAAATTATATAAAGCTTGACAAAGTTTTGAATTTTAGGCCGTCTTTTTTTCAGCGTTGGTGACAAGTAGTTAAATGTTTACCTTGAATGATCTATTCAAATAAAGAACGGTCCCTTTGGATGTTATCCTGCTTTGGGTCAATAACTTCTGGCACAGATATTTACTGATGCACATCTGTTTAAGAAACCTGGATGCACAAAAACCACAGGCACCCWGCTTTTGTGTATCAAATTCGGAATTGTTGGGATTTTTCAGTACTGTTAAAATCACGTACTGGCTAGCAAAAGTAGGCAAAGTCCACGGACTTTCTACCCATTACTATACGCTAATAAGCTATTTTGCGCACGCGGACATTGGAAAATTAGTTACTTTAGGCATAGCTAATAGAGGGTACTAGTTAACTATGCTTTCATAAGAACAATGCTTTCAATTTTGTTTTCCTACTGTACGTGAACGACTCACTTGCAGACCTTGCAGGTAGATAGATAGATAGATTTGTTTATTTCCACTTATTGCAGCATATGCATGACTGAATTACAAGTGGGGTCAGGATAAATAATAAATATGATTAGATAAATTCACAAAAATACTAAACAATGATACAGAATAGAATAAATATACATACAATGAATAATTAACAGTAATACTACTCGTTACATATGAACTTAGCGTACTTATAGCAAAGTGCTTGAATCTATCTGTGCGCGTTGATCTTAGGCTGGAGTTACTACAAATTCTTAAGCTATAGTTATGCGTTGATTTAGTTAACCGACCCTTGATGATGTTTATATATTCACGATCATTATAGCTACTGGGTCGATTCATTGGCATAAAAAATTTCCTTTTGCTCCACAAATACCCGGTCACTTAATGAATAGAAAAGATAAATAAGTAGGTGAAATAACTCAGTTACTGACGTTTCGTACATTAATCCTTCGTCGGAGTAAAGAGCAAGAAGGATTAACGTCCGTAACGTCAGTAAGTCGTTTCACTTACTTTTTTACGGTGTTAAATTTATTTTACACAACTGTTTCTTTAGAAACACCGACGCAGCTCACACTAGTTTACCGCTAGTTCCCATCATTTTGACTAATGAATATTCAATTTAAGAAGCAGGTATGCAAATTTCTATTGAGTCAGACAGTGACCAGGAGTATTCTAAAGTCTCTCTTTTGTAATAGGATAACGTAAGTTAAGTCCTCCGGTATTTGTATATTTTATCAGTGAAAATTGTACAGAATCTATATATTCAAATTATCATATTTTTTCACGATAAATCTAAGATTTGCCGTTGGTAAGGTAATATGTTTTTGCATGTCAATCATGTGCTTCTCGTATGATGATTAACGCTTACTGATAAACCTTGAGCACTTGAGTTGCTTGTAATAAACTGAACCTGTGTTCTGTGAGTCAAGTATAAATACCATCGCGTTTTTCTTATGCACCACATTGTAATTTAACGAAAGGTGAGAGAGTCAAACTAAGTAAACTTGATTGCCTGAGCATGAATAGCAGCCGAGTGTGGTTCAACCCCAACTCAAAGTGCAACTTTAGGAACTTTTATTTGGTCAGAAATCCATATTAATAACCAATCTGAAAACCCTATCAAAAATAGCTAAGTCTATATGGTTCAGGGTGTGATGTGTAGTCTTGAAAGTACTGAGGTTATATAGTTATCAGTTATGATATATTAGTTATAATATTTTTGATGAGGATTAGACTTCCCTTTTTATCATTTGTTTGAATGTATGTTATATTTTAATATTAAAAGATTACGGAAGCTTGAGACTGTCCTAGCTAAAGCTCTACATAAATATTTGTACATTGTAAAGAACTTCCCTCTAACCTGTTTCAAAAGAAGTCAGCCGTTATCTTCTCTGGACACCTCTTAAGTGACTTTTGCAACGAACCAGTGAAGACTGAACTTATGATCTTGGCTCGCACGATAAAACTTTTCCCTTAAAACCATGGAAACAATACCATCATCCAATCACAGCATAGCATATGGTTTTACAACAAAAGGTATCCCACAATAGTCTGTCTTAAAAAAAGGTATAGCAAATCAAAATAAGATTTTTTTGAATAAGTAATTATCCAATCACAGCCGAAAGTATATGTTTTTACAACAAAAGGTATCCATAATAATGCCTATCTTTAGAACAATTTAAAAAAAAGCGAATAGCCATTCAAAGTAAGATTTTTTTGATTAAGTAAGTCAGACTCAAGCCCGGGAGGGGGGGACTGCCTTTAAAAATCAGTTAAGGGTGCTCGACAGACCATCGTAAATCAGTAACTTACATCCTGATTTCAAACCATGAAAGATAGTGACAACTATAGTTTACTGCCAGTTTACACTGTGACATAAGCAGAAGCAGAAGAAGTGTATTTTGTATATGTGAAACGGGAAAAACAGAAGCAAAGACAGAAGTAGATGAAAATTTACTTCTGTTTCTGCTTACGTTGAAAGATTATGAGTGTAAAACGGGAAATCATAAGCAGAAGAACATGCTTCTGTCAAGTGTGAACAAGCTTCTGCTTCGGTTACTGCTTATGTTAAAGTTCATAAAATATCTATAATAGTTATGTGATCGTTATAGTTCATAAGATATATCATGATAGTATGATCGTTAAAGTTTATAAACGTTTTGTATTTTCTGGTTTCTCAAAACTACAAATCTGGTCCTTAAAGATACGCTGTCATCCAGAGCTCCTACAAAAGTTCTCTAGGTTCGCAATGCGGGCCTTAAAATCCCCGTCGAGAATCACTATCCATGTTTCAAGGGAATCCCCCCCCCTTCTCCAGTCTCAAGCAGAGATAAATCGGCCAACGCATTGCTAGAAAGCCATCCATCCCATTCATACCACCCGTAAATACAGGTCACCAGAGTTCTTTTAGACAAATATTCAATCTTAGTGCGAGCTAAAATGAGTCGTAATAATAAAATTAGTTGAATTCCTATCTGGACAAACACATGTTTTTATTGGCTATTTCAAAAAAAACACCTTAATATTCAAGTAAAAAGGCCGATAATGAGACTTGACGGAGTTTCAAAGTCCGCGCGGCTAGTTCAGTCCGAGGGGCATGCAGCCTGGAGCTGGCAAGACAAGGACTTTTTTGAAATCCCGTTTAAGTCCAAACTGCAGACTTTTGAACGACTTTCAGGATTTATTGGTTTGGATTATGGACATGTGTTATGCTCGTGCGCGAACCACCTATAGGGCTATAGGGTAGATAGCAAGCTGTTTGTCTCATGCGAAGCCGCCAGATTTCAGCACCTTCAGTCATTAACGCTTCATATTAAAAAAATCAACAATACATTACTCGATCTTTGTTAAAAAATGACCGCGAAAATCGTTAATATTTGACACGGTGCCAATATTAGTAACGAATAATATACATACATGCGATTATAGAAAATTTAATTAAAATTTGTAGACGCATTAAAAACGCATCGTTAGAAAACAACTGCAAATACGTGATATGACGAATATGTCAAAAATCCAATAAGTCTTCATGTTCAAAAAATCGGTGGAGCGAAAAGGACGAAAAACGATCTYGAACAGTCGATTCACATGTGTAACAATTGGGACCACTTTGCAGTGTTTTTATGATAAATCGCAATACACTTTACAGTTACTAAATTTTATTACTCTTTTGTCGTAATTATAGTCTGGGAACTATAATGGTCGTTGCAGTGAAATATATTAACATTGTTGTTATTCTCTTTATTGTGAGCGTTTAATACTTTGCATTTTTGGTATATCATTCTTCATTGCTAGAACACTTTGGCATGAGAACTGCTATTCACAGTTAATGCAAATATTTTACTCAAAAGCGTACACGCCATGTCACTTAGACATCTATGAATATGAAATATGAGGACCGCATGACATCTATACTAGTTCTTGCTTTTAGGGCTTCCTTCTTTGAAAAGTTGTCAATGATTGCTTCCTTTCGATATTCTATTCACTGTTCAAGTTGAATGATTTGGATAACACAGTCACGAAATTATCACATTACTTCATCAAAATTMTATTAAAGCTAAACCGGCTTTCACACATTTTAATGTAATGTTTTGTGATAAAACTCTAAGTATTTTTTGATGAGTAACTGAGCTTCTGCTTTTGAAGTTCCATGATAATATTTCATAGCCTGGGGGATCAAATATGATACTATGAATAAATAAATATAATCATTATAAACATCAAAGCCCGGGGGGGAGGGGTACTCCCATATATTTGCTATACGGGGACGTGCCACAGGCCAGGGTATGGTTTTTGGCCTTGCTGTCTTAAACAGGGTATACATTTCACCCGAAATTGTCTTAAACAGGCTCTACAGTTTAGATAAAAACCGATATAATTTTTTGTGTGTCTTAGACAGGGTAATATTTTCATAAGAAATACCGTAGAAATAGTAGAAATACCGTTTCACTGTAGCAGGATTAACGTGTTATCAAAAACTTCTTATTGTCTTTGATGGTTGTCAGTTTAATGGCAGTTTTGATGGTTGCGGCGTAGATATCGATTCCGTATTTTTCCGATTTGTCTTAAACAGGGTATGGATTTTCACTTTCTAGTGTCTTAAACACGATCAGGATTTTAGACCGCTGGCGGCACGCACCTATCCAAAACGTAGTCGAGTCGAGTACCCCCCCCCCCCCCCCGGGCATCAAATACATCAGTTTTGGGTTCCAATCTGAAAATTGGTTGAATTACAAGCTGTATTACATGAATTGTAAAATCTAACTTGTTCGAATCGATCTTGAAACGGTTTAGTTAGGACTTAATAAGCTAGGAATTCATACGTACGTGAGTGTGCATGTGAGTTATGTAACCTTGAATATTAAAAAGTCAAATAAATACATTGTTAGTACTTTTGACACGTGCCGATTAATCAGCGKCAATCATGATCATTTATTGTTAATCGTGCGTAAGTCTACTGACGAAACTCTTAAAGCTCAACAAGCGTCGAAAAGAAATTGAAGATCATTAATTACGTGATATGTCAAAAATCCAATACCTCTTTATTGTTCTTTGACTTGAGTGATCTTGCGCAAAAATTGGTGAAGCAAAAACGACTAGAAAGAACTCGAATGAGCTTATTAATGTTAGTGACTAACATTCTGGATGTAATGCAAAGCGGTTTTATTCACTGGATAATAGTGCAAGACACTAGAAAACATGTAAACTACATAGGTCTTCATCTTTGGGAAGTTGGCAAGGTATTGCTTCCTTTCGGTATTCTATTTACTGTTCAGGTTGAGAATGATAGTGACAAGGCAGTCAATAAATGAGACATTACCTGATTATTTCATAGCCGAAGGGATATAAAATAATTTAGTTTGTTTATAAATATGTTGAATTCAAAAAAATAAATAGATGAGCAGAGATTAGGCGTGCGGAACGGCTGTCAGGTGAGTGAAAATGTGCGTAAAGAAAAAAAAAATTCCTTCATTCTAAAATCACCTGGATCGTATCAAAATCCACTATCCCCAGCCCCGATAGTTTACTTAGAGCTAGTCTAGTAGAACTTTGTTTACAAAGTTTTGCTCATTAGTAAGGTTGAAGTTCAAATGTAAGTGGTTCATAACTTACAGGAGCTTATTCACATAAGTATAATATTAGAAAGCATTGGGCTCTTTTCGTGCAGTACATCACTGAGTGATAAAAGTATTGTTTCAATATTCAGTGGTAATTAGAGTTTTCCCTGGAGATTTCCATTTTTTCTTTTCTAGACGTTAGCCGGCTGGGCTTCTGAAACAAACTCTGCCGGCCGATGTTCTGTCGGGCATATCCGACAGAAATTTGATGTARATAATTTCCATCAGTTTACAGAATTTTGGACACTTACATCATATTTACATCAAATTTACAACCTTTAAAGCGCGCGATTTTTCCAGTGTATCCAGATAAYAAATGTCAAGGCTTTTTGTGTGATTTTAAAATAGGATAGAATGTTTGTTGGATTAAAAACCTCTAGTTCTRTCMTTTTCTCTAGTTCTGATCGATATGGATAACTGCCTTTGACGGGTAAATTATGCCGTCARTRATTGATACCCATTGTGCCTTTCGGGCGTGCATTATCTCTTGYGTCGAAAACCTTTTGTTAACTACGGTATATCCAGTGAGTTGTGAAGGAATGTGSTACGTGATGGGTTGTTCTATAGTCTGATGAATTTAATCTATTCGATCACTCAAATATGTTACAATTGTCAAAGGGGCGTATTCCATTTCCTTTAGCTTATAAGAAAGGTATTTATTAGCAGGGGTACTCTACAATAGACCGAGTAGTTTTGATCATAGTGTTTTGATCTAGAAAACCTAGATCTATAGGAGCTTGAGACAGACGCAAATTTTTACAACAAGAGGCCACAAAAGAATCACAACCTTGATGAAGGTCATGCTGTGTGATGGATTGTTCGTGCGTTAAATGTATTCGAYCGCTAAAATGAGCTATAACTGGAAATAAAATAGCTATAATCTATAAACATATAAATGGTTGAAATGCTTAGGGGCAAAACAAGAGTCTAAATCCACACGAAAAGTATTTCTCAATCATTAGAGTCCCGCGTCATAGTTATTTCATACTTAAATCCATAATAGTTAGTAGAGAGGAACAGTTCCCCTCTACTAGTAATGCGCAGTATTAATATCTAGAAAAATCCATAAATTGTAGYATCTCTCAGCAGGAGACAGAAGYGGACTCAAGAGCCAAAGAATCGCCTTGCTTCACTTCTGGTTCCACAGTAATTTGTTGTGACTAAAGTCTTTTGTATACTGGGAAATTATTCTAAGGATCATCAGGTGTTTTTTATAATTTATTCGTCTGTTCTACATCACCTTGTAAACCAAAAAGCCACTCCATAGTACCGATCAAAGAACAGTTGGTGCATAGCAGGTGAGCAAGAAATATATATGTGGAGTATTAAAGTCAACAATTCAATTGCTAACTAGTGTGATATAAGACCTTTTGAAAGTTTTCGACGACCCCTAAACCCCCKGATAATAGCGGGGAAATTATTTTATTTCAAACGTGTTAAACTCCCGGGATTTCCTGGTTCTTCACATCGACAAAAAGGAMAACTAGAAGATCATTTTCCTTTGTTTTTTCCTTCGCCAATCCATGAATTGATGCTGTTGAAAGAGCGTTAAATCACGGAATATAAGTGTGCTATAATAACTCTGACCTCCCCGTACTCTTGTAGAGCGGAGTTTCCGTGTTGCAATGCGGCGGCGTTACAAAATCACTGGCGACAAGATATTTCAATTCGAAGCAATTGATATTTTGAACTTAAACTTTGCCAGATAACTGTACAGATAGTGCATACATGATCAAAATTAAGGAAAGAATTGGTTATTTTAATGATGTAAATGGTATTGATCTCAACAAGAAACTGTTGCAACCGCACCTTTTTAACATAAACGAGACGCTCCTGGAGCGTGAAGTCGGACTAGCTATTTTTGAAAATTGACATTATTAAAGATATTACATGGATGCGCTTAAACACGATAAGATTATGATGTTATATTTTGTCTAATCAAATGATTATATTATGAATGTAAATTATGGCGTAGAATATACATTTTTTACTTCTAATACATAGTGAAAGCAAGAATGCATTAACTCATTAGTTAATTATTAAGTTCTTAAATTCCGGTGGTCCAAGCGCGACGTGACACATAGATAGATTGATAGACTAAAAGGTAAATTTCAAGTCTGACTAATTATCAAAGGTTTCTTATACTAAATAATATTAACAGCTGGATTCACACTATAGTCCTAAGTACGATTAAAGTTCAGCTAAACCCCAGATAGTCAAATTGCCTGCTACAGTTAGTGAGACGTTCACACCAACCAAGTTTACGTTTTTTGCTAGAAAACCGTATATAGGGGAGTGCCCCCGGCCGTCAATGAGGCTCGCGCGCATAATGTGAACGAAAATCAGTCATCGTGTAACAGACCTTCATCCAAGTCTTTGAAATTCAAGATGAAACTTTCTTCTTATTTYCTTGAATTATCAATAGACCTCAATAACTTGAATGTAAACAACCAAGGTTTTCAATGCTGATTCGGGAGTCTCTTGAGAAAAGAATTTGAATATGGTTAGATTTACATTTCCTTGTTATGATATAAAGTTGTACTAGCTTGAAGATAATAGTGTAAGACTCTCCGTCGTAAAAAAAAATCAATTTGTACCTAAAATGATGATATATTTTGCAATCCGAATGTATATATTAYATACTAACTGAACATTTTGCCGTCTTCCGTTGACTGGTTATACTCCAGTAAACAAAGCTGAGACACTTTGAAATTTTTTAGGCTGAAGGTTTTTACTTGTACATATGTTGAACTTAATATGAAAATCTGTGTCTTGGTCAGTCAAGTAACTATTCTCGTTCAAAAATGACTTTTCTCATTGATAAAATGAATTGACTCTTCTTGGCAAATGACACAGCGGTTGGGCTGCCTGTGGATGAATACGATTGTCGCCGCATGATTGCTAAATCTTTGACGTGCATGAATATTTGAAAATAATTTACAAGCCCGTAGACTGGGGAGAAAGGAGCTCAAACCTGGAACGCGAACGGCAAACCTGCTTCACTAAACTACGTGACGTTAGCAGTTTGCGGAAATCGAGCAAAAAGATTCTAATATTCTAGAACACTTACGTGACCGCAGCACGGATGATTGACCGTGTAGTATGTCAACAATTTATCAAGAGAAATTKTCCTAATGACATCACATCAAAACATTCTATTGTTTCAACGCTAAGGATTATGGTCGCCAGAAAGGATCAGAGTGACTACATTTCAAATAAAATGTATATGAACAATCATTTATACATGATATATATCAAAACACGATTCATTGAAGTTCTACTTTAGTAGACAATATAAATGGGTCTAAATTTCCACCGTTTTTGAGCATCGTTTTCCGATGTAAACATACTGTGACGTCATAATGGAATAGGGCAATTAAGAATTGACTTAATTTTACTATCGGTATAGTTGAAATCGTCGTGAAGATCAGTCCATTTGTAAAACAGCTCGCGTTAAAAACTAACGATAGCTGTGCGCTCTTTGAAAATTAGAGAAAATGAAAATAAGACTTATAACCTAACTTGACGCGCCAATCCGCTTTAGGCATTAAAAAAAATAACTTCCTGAATACAGAACTTCCCAGAAACTCTTGTTTTTGTTGTTGTTGTTGTTTTCTTAAAAGAAGTAACTTTTCGCCGTGTTATTAATTTGCATTTACACGAAAACTATCGCTTCCAACTGAACGCGCTTTCCAAAGTTTCGCTTGAATCGATAGGCCTGAATGTATGAATAAACTATCATAATTATGTGTAAACACATCCTTAAAGTGATCCGTTTTACATATTCCACTTCTAAAGATGAGATAATTATTACTAAGATATAATTTATAAGTGTTGAAATTTTCAATTTTTCGGCAAGTACGCGTATTCACACACACCAGGCGATCAGCCAGTTGATCACGTGTKTGATCTAATCCAATCAGCGCGCGGTTTCAGACTGAAGGAAGGCACCATCCCACAAAGCATCGCAAGCTAAGAATATTTTCCTTCTCGCAGTATTAAATTCGAAATAAAACGAGTAAAAGTGGAAATTTACCTTACAAACCGGCACATAAATCAAGTTAAACGATTAAATCCTTAGCGGATCAAAATCCAAATGAAATCACTTCAGTGGATAATTTTAACGGGTAGTTAACGTTATCCGCGCTTTTTACAACGCTCCCCAGGATTTTTGGACCATGTGTTAATGTAAAGAAATAATCTCAAATACCTGACAGTGTAGACTAGGGATAAATTGCAAAGTTCTGAGAACATCTGTAGCGCTATCTGCAGATACATGTGCTGCAAAGTGAATGACGGCAACAATTTTCAAGTGCTGTTCTGTGGATTATCATAGGTCTCCAAAAAAGAACTTTCCTGGAATGGAATTTCTTATAATTTATCAACGCTGCCAGCCTATGAAAACCACTATCACACGAATGTTTGTCCCGCTGAACCATTTATAAGCAATACATGATCTTGCATAGCGATAAGGACTTAAAAATAGACTTACTTCAGTCGTCTTAGGCTGCCTTGAAGATTTGGTTTGCAAAAAGAAAACTTCAGTCTGTGCGCACTTGAAAAATTAAGAAAATGATAATAAGACTTACCTAAAGTTCATCGACTTGCCACATCAACACCTCCAAACGTTAATTTTGCAAGACTTCCTGCACACAGGAAACAACTTATCAGAATCGAAACAAATGCACCTTCACCACGGACGTCACGTGTATATTTTGTCCAAGTTCACAGRTCAGCATGGCCAGACATCAATCATATTTAGTCATTTTCCTCTTATATTCTTATTTGCATTTAMACAAAAACAATTGCTTCTCAGAACGCGTTTTCGAAAATATCTTCTTTGGATATTTTCAAATGATCCGAATACGCTCATTATGATACTTGGTTGTTTCGTTTGAACATATAGCCCTAAACGTATAAATAGACATTGTAATTATGTAAGCACTACTTTAAAGTGATCTGTTGCATATATTCGACTTCTGACATGAGATACTCAATTTAAAGGGCTACTTGGACGAAAATTGCGAAATATTAGAAAAGACTTGGAAATCAAATAGACCTATCCATATGGRTSTAAYAATYATKAARMAACARATTTCAAGAAAATATTCATGCAAATCCTTAATAATTTGGGCAAAAAATGTTGGAGTAGATGACGTCATCTACTCAATCCCTTTGTTCTTCCATCTTTTGAATCAAAATTTCTCTGATGTGGGATATAATAATTCCAAGACAAATATTTTCACGCAATTGTTTTTAATAGATATAAATGAGTCATATATTTGTATTGCTTGAAGTTTTGAAATAAGGCCAYTTTCATGCAAGTAGCACTTTAATATCACTAAGATATATAATTTAAATTATATCTTGAAAAAGGGCGCGGCTGACTGATTTTTAACCCCTAAATTAAGATATTGCACAACAAATATTGTTAAATTAAATCAGTTCCAACGATAAAAATGGAGAGGAAAATCAAAATCGATGCGCTCTTTCTCTTCTTTTACGCAGAGCGATTGCAAATATCAGTCCAGAAACTCCAAATTGTCCCCCTTAAATTTTTACCCCTAAGAGATCCGACAAGTATCCCCAGTACTTTTACCTCCTTTTCTGTGTACTGATTTTCTAAAGATCACCATGACACAAGGGTTTACGCTGTTAAGCAAAAATCTTGGATTTTGCGATAAGGTCTAAATTAGACTTATTTATCTTGCTGGTTTATTTCTAACACAAGACGGAAATCGTGAAGCGAAATTTGATRATAATGAGACTAGCGTTTTAGCGTATTCTCCCTGACAATTTTTTCCCTTTATTTGTAGGTTTTGACATGATGGATAAAGTGCTTATATTTGTTGYAATTGGATTGGTGCCKGCTTCAATGGCGGCAGTCAGTAAGTCVATCTACAACTGTAGCTTTTCTGAGCTTTTGTATAACAAAATTGCTCATGTATTTGCGTTATTGCCATGCTGTCAATTTTCAAAAATTCAAAGATACATATCATACATAAAGAGACATGATACATCGAGTGGTTTTCGTGATGAATGTAGTTACACCGCCAGCCATTGCCTGATTTCATGCCGTGGAGACTGGGTACTAAATGACTTAACATGATGGTGTTCTATATATAGAACCAAAGACTACATTGAGAAATACAAACTGCCAACATTCTGTGTTTATAACATCAACAGTGAACAATTTACAGTTTTGGCAAGCTGCTCACAATTGACCAGATAAGCGATACTGGTGAAAAACGCACTGCGCATGCCCACAGCTTTCCCGCCAGTGGGAAAGCGCTCGCGTCTTGAAATCAGTGTAAACAGAGTGCCTGGCGATTTACAGCGACAACACAGAAAACACTACGAAAAACCTCATTTTCTCAAAAAAGGGAAATGACAAGATAAAAATAGAAACTACATACTAAAAGGACCTATCATGATCAATGATTGATGGAAATATGAATCTTATATATCGGTGAACGAGCTTATAAATTGTAAAAAACTTTCACAAAAATCGCTTTACAAAGGAAATTAGGCAGATTTCATCGGGAAAGCTGTGGACATGCGCAGTGCGTTTTTCACCAGTGTCCAGATAAGCAACAAGCTTTTTTTGTTACTTTTAATGAGTTCGATCGTATGATTGATGCCTAGTCTCCCACGGTATGAAATAAAGAGCAATGTTGGGTTCGAATATGCTACGAAAACCGTATCAGTGTAAAAAAGGCCCGATAATCAGCAGTTTCAGGGAATAAATCCTTCAAGCGCAATAAAAATAACCTGYTACTTTGAAATATTTATTAGCTTTTAATTAATTTTGAATGTTTTTCCACAGCTTATAATTACCGTCCTGATGATAAGGAATATGGTAAGTATTATGGGCTGTCTATGGGGAGCCCTGTGCTTTACTGATCAAAAGCCCGTGTGTACATTTCATCATGAATCCACGACTGTCTTTGGATAGATTCCCTCAACGCAGGGGAGGGCTGGGAGGCATAGCTTGAAAGGGAGTCAAACAGAGTAGACTAGATGAGTCTAATGTAATGTTCGCTTCTGTGCGTCGTCTACACCAATTTTGCTGTTTGTTTGAAAATTGAAAGACGCACTCAAAACCACTTTTGGTTTCGTTTGGACATACTTCYAACCAAAACCTGCTCAATCCTGCTCTATTGCTAGTACAGTAACTTATACATCATAACTGATTCTTAGACTTCTATTTATAAGGTCCTTCTGTCTGGAACACAAAATATAACGTGAGCTGTGCTGGAAAACGCCAATCTCCAATACACATTGACACAACGAAAACCGTTTATAAGAATTTAGGTGCTTTGCAATTCACCAATGATGATAAAGTCCCAAATGGCCCTACCTTGCAAATCGGTAACAACAAACACAGCTACAGAGTGAATCTGAAGAAGGATTATTTCTCAGTCAAGGGAGGTGGATTGCCTGGAACCTTCAACGTATTYTCCTTTCATTTTCATTGGGGCAAGGACGATACCAGAGGCTCTGAGCACACTGTGAACATGAAAAAATACCCRGCAGAGGTAAAGTGTAGGTGTTGGTTGCTTGTTAACTCAGCTATCGATCAAAATCATCTTAGTGATAAAGATAACCCTATGTTCAATAGCCCAACGATATTCTGGTTATAAGGTCACCCATAGAAGAACTTAAGACGAGTCTCTGGTGAAACAAAACAAGTATCTATTGTTCTCCTCGAACTTTTTCTCCAATTCTTTTTTGTACGTGGCTAATCATCAATGATAGTATAGTATCATCAATGATAGTATAGGCATTTTTAATGGATGGCATGCATAGTATTTCATAGTTTAGCTTAGGAATTGAAAAATATTTCATTGAATTTCACAAGAAGCAACAAAATGTTCATTTGCTTCAGACAAAAGACATTTTTCTTCAATTCAAGTGAATGGAATCCCCTATGACTGATTTGCTATTTTAACTCCTGCAGGGCCCTTAGGGGGAAAGATTTTGTGAGAAAATATCCACTAAAGCTTTTGTAAAATAAGAAAAAATTGCAAGCGCGCGCCTGAAGTCCCAAAAAAATTCTTGCACCTAGATCTTCCATCACCCCTCCCCTCCCACTCCCTTCCGACACCTCAAAAGTCTTATGGATCCCTTACACCTCGTTTCCATTCCTTTGTTTACTATTGTTTTAAATTCACTTCCGGCTTATGTCGTAAGCATTTTAACAGGACAGGCATTGCATATAATACTAGTTTTTTGTGCTACAATRTAGAGACCTTGGATGGGTCGAAATTTTTGGACTTTCATGAAATTCAGCTGGGTTTGAACGAATGACGCTTTATCCTGAGTACATTGGTAAATGTCTAATTAATGCTTTTCTATCTACACTAGTTGCATTTTGTCAACTGGAACACGAAATACGTTAATATATCTGAAGCTTTGAAACACGAAGATGGCATTGCTGCAATAGGGGTCATACTTGAGGTAAAAGTCAATTTAATTTATATACAATTATGTTTTTTTCATGTTATTGCTTTTTTGTATCGCGTTCCGCCTGCACGAACGCTTGAAATCATTTATTCAAAATGCTACACATAAAACTATTTAAAAAACACTCATACACAAAACGACAAAAACATGTAGTAGACACGGAGGTTTTATTTCATGGCATTATGGCGAGGTCATCTCGACGACCAACTTTGGCCGAGGTGAACCTGGGTTGATGATTACGAGTAATTCATTTCCAGGTTTACTCGAATTTTACATAATACATGAACATGGTATTCATGCTTATTCAAATTGAAATAGTATCGTTTGYGTTAACGAGTGACCATTGCAGGCAGAATGGCAAAATGTATCAACTCGTTTTTTTTTATTATTATTATTATTTTTCATGTAGATTGGAAACGACGAAAACCCAGCTCTTGCGTCGTTTTTGAAGTATGCTGTCAATGTAACTTACCGTGAGTAAAAAGTTTGTTTTGTGTGCTTGATTAATTAAATAATACAGTTTGCAACTGTTTCCTAGCTTAATTCCATGAATGTAAACGCTAATCCGAAAAAAGGAAATCCAGAGCTCCGAATGTTTGTCAATACGAGCTCAGTGAATCTGAAARAAAAGACACAAAACAATTCCCMTAAAGAAGTGACTAAATATTTTCATATCTCACCAGCTAAAGAACTATACAACATCGCCCAGACCCATTCGATTGCCGATTTGATGCCAAAAAACAGAGAAGCATTTTACCGCTACGATGGAAGTCTAACTACACCAGTATGTCAAGAGGTAGTCACTTGGACGGTATTTAATAACACAATGCCAATTACTGCAAACCAGGTAGGTATGACATTAATCAAGGAGCATCGCTGGCTGATACTTCGGCTATTGCACTGAAAAAAATCGCGCTCCTCGAAGTTTACAAATTTAATGCAAATATGATGTAAATCAAATTTACAATGTATGTAAAAAGTTTGTAAATTTGATGTAAATATTATGTAAGTGTCCAAAATCATGTAGATATTACTGACATAATTCTGATTTTATTTTATTTTTCAGTTATCACTCCTAAGAAGCCTGAAAGACAACAACGCCACTTTGGGTGTAGCTTTGGTTGATACGCATCGTCCMGTTCAACCTCTGAATAACCGTATGGTGTATAGAACCTTCGATAAGCCACCAGTTACTGCCGGCTGTTGCCTGACACCCACAGTCTGTCTTCTCATCATTATGCTTGGGCTTTTCGCCATGTTTAACTGATTCCAATTGCTATATTGAAAGCATCATAGTCAACTCTAGATATTTTGGTTCGATGACTATGTAAACTAAGAACGCACACGAGGCTCCGGGAAAACAAATTGATAATCTTGATTTATTCTTTTATTTCCCCGGAGCCTCGTCTGCAATTCTTTTGTGCATGGTCACTGAACCAAAATATCAAAAGTGCGGCTATTTTGTTCGTATGCATCTAAACTCACATATTTAGATAACTTTTGTAATGACTTAGCGGTTTGTATCAATTGTTAATGGCACTGACAGCAAAACATGGATTGAATACTTACTGACTCGGGAAATTTCGTGAGTTGGTCCTCTATATCCATTGGAAGACAGCACCGTCCTTGATTAGACRTCAGTAGGTTTTCTATCGATGCATAATCATTAATTATCATGTTTCAATACGAAACATCGATRCTTATCGCACACTTAACGCTGTTTATCATAGTAATTGCACCAGTTTCCAATTTTTAGCCTCAAAGCAAGATTGTAATAGCTTTGACCTTCGAGGTGTGGTCACAATAAAAAAATAAATAGTAAAGCTTTTCTTGTCTTTTAATTAGTTTAAACACAAAAATACTCATGGAAAAACAGACAGCACATGGGAACTTTTACTTTGAAGACGTTCGACGGCRTGTTCGACGGCAACCCAGCATTGTCATTTGTCATCCTTATTGAAGACCCGTAGGCTGCCTTACAAATGGGGAGGGGGAGGGAGGGGTCGTTTTTTCATAATGCTGACCTAAAAAATGTTTAACTAAATTAGTTCAATGCAATAGGTATAGTGTGTAAAAATTGGCTGCTAAAATGAACTGTTCATAACAAATTCAAGCACTTTCCGCGCTTTARAGTTTGTATTGGTGAATACAAGGGTTATGTGACTACAATGGCGGCCTTTAAGTRGCTGTGTAACTTATGAATTATTACGTAATGAATATTATAAGAGATATGTAACACATTTTCAGATCCTCTTCTTGCGCTTGACCCATAATGCTTTGCGCCTTGAGGATTTCGTGAATTGACTTCAGCTCCTTAAAAGTGACTTTTGTTGTGTGCCCACTTCAAACAATCGTAAACRAAATCCTAAACTGCAGTTCTACAGAATTCCAAAAGATCCAAGTCGAAACTTGTATATCTGGTAACCCTGTGTTAATAAACTGGCCTGGATACATTTCCAGTAAACAAATATGAACTTCATTCGTTCGATTCATGAAGATTGCATAGTAAGTCAGAATTCCTCTTACATTTATAACATATGTTGGTTTTGATTAATTATTCAGCTTATTTAGTAATCATCTGTTGTCAATAGACCAACTGGAATGACATGTGTTGGTCTTTGCGAGCAAATCTTCGTGCTCTTTCCAAGACTCTAAAGTTCATCTCTCTGCTCGATTCACAAGTAAAATCATCTTCATTTGAAAATGTTATGATGGAAACACAGAAGGCTAAAGTTGGTAAGGTGTTATTTTTTCTTCTTTCAATGGAGWTAAATATGTGAAAAATAAATATTTTCCGTACTAGTATTTATGAATATGTGCCAATATATAAACATTTTACCGGCTACGAAACTATTACGTCATACAAGCGAGCGCAAACACACATCTTTATATAAAYCCATTGAAAAGGGTATACTTAGAATAAAACTCATTTGCAAATAGTTCTGATTTTTAAAACCTAACAGGTTTCTGTGTGCCTAGAGGTAACGGCGAAGTATTTACAAAAAAAAAGATAAAAAAGGGKCAAAAAAATATTTGTTAAAATAGTAATCTAGTAAAAATAAAATATTGTTATTTATGTGGTTTTTAGTTTTGTTTTAAGTATATTGAGKATTTTGAAAACTACCCTAAATAAACGATATGCAATAAAATTGATGTTCTGTTTTATTAGTTCTCTTTGGTGAACATCATCATGAACCGCAAATTCTCAAAGCACAGCTTTGTATTCTTGAAGGCATGGCTTCACAAGCCCAAAACCAAGACAGAAAATTGGTAGTGGTTGTAGAGATGTTCAACTTTCAACAGCAAAGCCTGCTAGATGCATATCACAACCATGAAATCACTTTGAATGAGCTTCATCAAAAGTACAAGGGCACAGAAGGATTTTCCATCCTAAATCATTATGGATATATTCTTGACGTTGCTAGAAGTTTYGGAATCAAAGTTATTGCAGGGTTTRTTCCAAAACCACTTTGTAGAACTATTATMWATGARGGAAAAGAACACACCTTGAAAAAGATAGACAAAATCGGTGGMCCTTCAAAAGATTTTTACATTGATGGGACTGAGAAMCATTACAGATATTTCCAGGGTTTGATAAGTGGGAACATGACTGATGTTGTAGACAACAAATACCGCAAGATATTCCCATCTCAAATTTTAAAAGACAGTTTCTTTGCACATACTGTTACCAATATAATTGAGACATSTGATGATGTCAAAGTATTAGCCTTGTGTGGCTCAGGACACATGGACCATGGATATGGGGTACCAGAAAGAATTCCAAGTCATATTCCAAGACTTCTGATTACTTCAAGAATGAAAGAAGACCCAATYGAGAAGGATGTTGCACATTTTATTTATCAATACTCATAAATTAAGAAAAGTCTTTCTCTATATTAATCGATTATTAATATATTTTTAATAAATAGACTTYTGTCAATAATTCAGGACTGAATTCAAAGAATCAATTATTATTTTCAGTAATAACAATTATTCTATTTCATATTATTCTTGATCTGTAGAGTTATTTTCGATGAAAAAATTCAGTGTTCTGATTGTCTATTCATGAAAGATCACGGTCAGCAGTACAATTCAGCAGTACTAAAAAGTCAAGGGAAATCAAGTGTAACCCAGACAAAAGACACCATTTTAGAAGAAATCAAGATGGTTTAATAATAATAAGAATTTTCTAGAATTTTGTATACACAAAGGAATGAATGTTCTTCCTCTGTTAGTTTACAACTACAAATTATTTTAATTAATCTAATTTCAGGATTTGCTGCTTACTCTTCTCATAATGTATTGGGGTGTAGTATTTGTAGCTTTGTCTTTTTATAATGACAAGTCTGTTTTATAATATTGTTTAGAGCCTTTTAAATGGCAAACAAGCCCCCATCATATGTACTGTAAATCGCAGTACCATCAGCAAGTGCTGCTACGTAGGAGCGAAAGCCAGTTAGTTGATTATTTGTTTTCCCTATGTAACGACCATCCAAAGTAAACTTGTATATCTGCTCATCAAAAGTGTTACACACTAGTAGATTGTTATCACTGTCAATGGCTAAACCTCGGGGCTCTTTTAGCTGAACAACCTTGCCACCAATAGACCTAATTATACTTGATAGCTGTTTGTCTTTCATTTCAACTACATGAACCACTGCTGAAGTAATATTAGTGACATAAAAAAGTCCTTTGTGAATGGTTATATCAAAAGGCTTTCCATTCGGCAAGCTGAAATGATATAGATGAGCTCCATCTGCAGAAAACACTTGTATACAATTATTATCAATGTCACATACAAAGATGTTGGAATCATCGTCGATGCATACTCCAGTTGGAATCATGAGGTGCTTATTTCCATTACCTATACATCTAATGGTTTTCTTTGTCCTACCCTTAAGGGTGTCTAGGATGCATATTCTATTGTTACTTTGATCAGTGATGACCAAATCAGTTTCACCAAGAAATGCTAAGCCGCCTGGATATTTATATTGTTCCTGGCCATTTCCTTCACTACCAAATTTCAGCAGCAATTCTCCTTCCATGTTAAAGACCCTAATGCAGTGTGAAGTGCGATCTGCTACTGCAATTCTGTCATTTGTTGAATTCACTGCTATACCATTATAGCTGTTTGATCCTATATTCAAACGCTTTATTATCTTTGAATCTTTTATTGGTATGTTTTGTGGCTCAATGTTCATCACAACTGGACTGTTAGATACAGGATTTCCACGTACATTAGCATGTACAGTTACCTGACCARGAACACAAGCAATGAAGTCCACAATAACCTCACCACTAACCTCCATTCGTTTCTCACCTATCTGAACGTCATCTTCAGGTGTTACCTGTATGGTAACTTTATCTACAGATTCGCCATCCGCTACTATTCCCTCTGAAGATTTCATTATCACGGTCAGTTTGGAAGTTTTCTTAGCCTCTATGTTAGGTTCCACTTTTATTGAGCACGACATGGCATCAGCCTTTTTAATTGATGTTACTCGCCCTAAACCAGTCTTCACTTGATTGTTAAGCTCTTCATTCGGTTTGAAATGAATTCCACCAAGTTCTTTCTGGAACGGTTGATAATTGAACTTTTGAGAGCATTTTTCGTCTCGAATCTCCATAATTTCACTTGCTGTTGCATTTTCAGCGAAGTATTTGACGTACTCTTGTGCTGCTGAGGTGTGATGTAATATTCGTAAGTTCCTTTCAGCTTTCGTTGTGGCTTTCTGGATCTCGGTTAAAAGTTGTTGTTCATGGTTAATYAGTGTTTTTACCAAGTGTTTTGTTACTTTCTTAACATTYTCTTTCGCTTTTKTCCCATAATCTCGGATGTCAATGGCAATTTCTTCTTGTTGCTTTCTTTCCTCGTCGCTAGTTGTCAATTTCTCAATTTCTTCGAGGTTTTTGAAAATACATTTTGTCTCATTGGTGATAAAATCCTGYAGTGTCTCCATTGATGATAAGTCATCCTTGTCATGAGCGTGATCTTTCAAGCAAAGCAAACAGATGAGTGCATCGCAGTGTCGACAATACAATTCGACATCTTGACTGGTGTGGATTTTGCATGGCTCTTCTCTTTTAATCATTGTTTCAATGTCTTCCTTTCTCATGTTGGACAACGAAATGACYTTATGATTCTTGGAAAATCTAGTATGGTAACCTAAACATTCATCACACAACGAGCAATCACAGTCTAAACATCTCCACAACGCTTCAYAATGACTCACTTCAACCGAACAAACCTTCTGGTTCTCTAAAAACGAYAAGACTTTCAGGATTCTTGAGTGTATCGGGCTGGTCTGCAAGTCTTCCACGTCCTCGAGTTGTTCAAGCACGGTTTGTGAGGTACACTGGGGACACTTGAAGACGTTGACTTGTCCATGGAGTTGTGTATTTGACTTGATACAAGGCTTACAAAATGTATGAAAGCACTGTAACAATTTGGGTTCGTACATCGTCTCATTGCATAGCAAACAATGGACCTGGTTCTTTAGATCTTTCACGTATGATTCCATTATTACGCCAAGAACGTAGCTTCTACAGCCAAAACGATATGATCCAGCAAGTTTATATAATCATTTCCGGGAACTTCCAGACGGTGACCTCATTGCATGACTCTCTAAAAATATCCTATAGGAACCGTGACTTATGAATATATTACAATACACTCTCCGAATATCTGAATCAGCATCTTTTCTTATGTAGATTGCTGTGGCTTTGATGTTTGTTTTTAGTTTTGTTTGTTTGTTTTTAAGAGAATTTCAAGGTTTCAAAGAGTCGCCAACGATAGGCTTGCAACGCGAGCGCGCTTCCTTGCGAGTTCAAGTTTTAGTAGACAACTGAGCTATAAGCTCTGCCTGTTTGACACTAGTGGCCATTGATTCAAGTACTATTAGTGGCATTCAACAGAGCCGATGAATTGATAGTAAATATCCCTTGCAACTCTTGTTCGCTTCTACCCTGCATATGGAAGCAGAGTGTTATWATTCGAAGATAGGAAAATATCACTTACAAGGTAGTCCACAAAGTCTCGCACCCATCAGCCATTACGTGAGGTCAAAGACGATTGTCAATAATTAACAGACGAACAACTTCGTTTCGCAACACAAACATCACTGTTACAACTACTGCTGTTTACAATTTGCTCTTCTTAAAAATGAAATCYCGAATTCAAGGACAAATGGTGTGCATCAAATACTTCATGTTTGTATCAAATGCYATTGTATTTATTAGTGGTCTTGGTCTCGTTACAATCGGAGGACTTGGAGAAATTCTATACGGTGACATCGACCACATCTCTCAAGTTGGTTTCTCCTCTGCCTCGGCAATTATCGTAATTATTGGATGTTTTATTGTAATTGTTGGTTTATCAGGTTGTTATGGAGCAATACGAGAAAGCATCRATACATTGAAGGTGTTTTCTTACTTGCTCGTTCTGATAATAATCCTCGAAATAGCTCTAAGTACCTGGATTTATTTTGCCCACATAAAGGTGTTCACAGTCTTGCAAAGTTTTCTTTCTAAAGTCCTCAGTCGTTACGAAATGGACCACGATGTCCAACGTCTCATAGATGACGTCCAGTCWAAGTACTCGTGTTGTGGGGCCGCAGGATACGRAGATTGGTTTAACTCAAAATGGAATCAAAAACGTCAAAATTTCAGTATAAGTATTTGGATTGATAGTGTTCCTCACTCCTGTTGCCTACAGAATACATCGCACTTAAAAACATGTGGTGACAACATTGGTACTCCTTCTAAACCAGTTTCAAAGTTCATTCATACAGAGGGATGCTTTCATTATCTTCAGAATATTATCTTACKTCATATGGGGACTGCTGTTGCCCTTGGAGCAGCTGTTGTTATGCTTGAAGTAATGGCGCTGTTGTCAGCTTGTTGTTTACGTCGTGCAGTTAAAGCTGGTGTGAACAGGGAAATCGAGGATACAGTAGGTTTGGTTGTATGATCACTTTGTACAAAAAGAATAGCATATTGCACAAAAATATGGGACAGGGACTTGGAAATACTTTCTTTGTGAAAAGATGACTGCTATATCTCAGGAGGAGCCGACGGGTTCCTGGGAGAAATATATCTGTTCTTATGTCCCAGCCAGCTGTAAGTCACAACTGGTTGCCAGCGAGAAATTGAGAAAAAAAGAACTTTCCAGGCAAGGAATATTTTCTAAGAATTTTTGCCAGGAAAATGAAAATTTCCTAACTAAAAAAATATAGGCCTTTTTTGACCATAAAAACGTTATATAAGCCTTTTGGACCTTATAACCCTTTGCCACTGGCCAAGGAATAAAATTATTTTAAAGAAGGAAAGGCGCCACGTTTCACTTGTGAGATTGACAACAATACAGTAGCTCAAAATCCCTTTCCCAGGAAAAAATTCGTACAAGAACAGTTATTTAGAAGAACAGACCCCGTCAGCTCCTCCTGATATCTTAACTTTCCAGGAAAAGGCTGCTAAAGGTAGACAACGCGGGCTTCAACCACCGTCACTTTTCCTACAATTTTTTTCTCTGGTGTTGGAAATCTAAATCTAAGACCCTCGTCTTTGTACTGTTCTCCGTATTGCCCTCGAATGGAGACTGTTTAATATCAGAAGAAATGAAACCATTTACAAATAATCGTCATCAATGGAAAACCCTGGCCAGGGTACATCGAATGGGAAAAGAAAGACTCAAAATCTCAAATCCCTGATTTCAAAATAACACTGGCCTCTGATSCCATACCATGTCACAACCAATAAAACATTTCACTCATAGTTTAGGAAAATAATTTTTAGATATGTCTTTTGAATAAAATATTTGTTGAAATCTTTTTTCGGTAAAACACTTGTTAGAACTGATTATCTGTYACCTAAGCTCCTAACTTCTCTCCTGGAACTTATCTTGTTTTCCCTTCTACTGAGAAAGTCTAGCCTCAATCACAGTCTGCTGCAACAGTGGATTCGTTTCCACTTGATAGGTTAAGCCACTTAAAGATCACAAACAAAAAGCACAGTGTAACCTTGTTTATCCGACYACCGATGGGTCATTTGGCCGTTTTAACCAGGCAGAAAATTATGAGAGTGKGGCAAAAAGTCTTGTCATTATAGTGGTCGTAGGAAGTGGGTGGTCGTAAAGTAGCGTTTCACTGAACAGCTCGAGTGACATTGACAACCATCAAAGGAAAGCTAAACTTGTTGTGAGAAAACCTATGCATATGGATCATGTCCCATGAATACTGCACACAGATCCATGGTGTATGATGAGTTGCCACATTTTTAGGAATAGTTTAGTTATCAAGTCAAGGACTTTGTCAGTCTGAGTCTTCATCATCAGTATCTGCCGCAAGGACATTTCCCTTTGAAGCAACCTGAAAACAAGGTAGAAAATACATTTAACACGATCTCTCACTGGCACAGTTGACAAAGACTAAAACATGTGCTTTAAATAATGAAAAACTTGGAATAATGTATTKAAGATTGATTTATAAATGTACAGGTTTGATTCATTTACCTCTGGCTGCTTTGAGTGTATTCCAAAAAACATGGACTTGAACTGTTGAAAAGAGGAATATTTTATAAAACTTTTAAAAGTACTGTCTAGTTTTCTAAGGTAACAGGGAGAGGTGGGACTAAAACAATGGAGCAATGAGGAAAAAATGTACCTAAGTTTCATAGAAAATGACCAGAAACACATCAAACAAAAATAGTAACAATTCTTAGGAAATGAAACCTACTTTTTTACTTGGAGGTGTTCCAGGAACTATGTTATCATCATCATCATCATCCATTTCCTCATCACTATCATTTGTATCTTGTTGTTTGTGTGATGAAAYTGACTTTATGACACTTCTGTGGAATTGTTGACTGCTTGGGCTTCCATTACCCAGGGATGGCTAATAAACAAGAAATCAAAACAGAATTATAGCCTCCTTCACAGTCAACTCTACTCTGTGGGATTCCTGTGTTAAGGCAAAAAAACTGCTGGAGGGGGAGGGGATAGGAAGGAAGGAAAAGCACGAGGAGTTGTTCCTAATCTCTCAACGACAGTTCTTCTCAACACAGGAAGACCAAGAAGAGAAAAATGTCCGTTTCCATTGGAGTAGCCTGCGATGGAGGCTAATAGAATTAAAATACAGGTCATCATGAACCTTGGATTTTCTCAGCCAGATTCATTTTATTTCTAAACCTAATTTATCCACGTAAAAAGAGTGGCAATCAAATATGTTATTTCTAAACCTAATTTATCCACGTAAAAAGAGTGGCAATCAAATATGTATTTTTAATCTGTACACAATTTACAATAGCGACCGTCAGATAATTTAGATAATTCAATCATTGCAGACAAGAATATAAATTATGCCAGAATGAACAAAAATTAAAAAAAGAATTAAAATGCCAGTTTATAACCTTACCATATCAATTTTGTTTAAAAAAGACACATCTAAAAATAGAGAAAAGTAATTAGTAATATATATTAGACCATTATTAGTAACAACAAATATTTTGTTGTACATTACCTGTGACAGAGCTACGAGGGGTTAGTATAGGGTTTGCACTGATATTTCTGGTATTAGTCTTAAGGAATACATGATCAATAATATATAATATATACAATATGAGCTGGYGACCTGTATGAGKATTGAATACARATCGCATRCAAATATTGTATATTAGTTATGAAACAATAAGATAAACAGATGAGATGACAGATTAGTGGAAACTAGACCATTCACTAGACAACCAGAGAATGTAATTCTTAGGATACCACACTGTCTCCAAAAAATCTTTTTTTTTTTTCTTTTCTTTTCTTTTTTTCTTTTTTTCTTTTTTTTTTTTTTTTTCAAGCAATAAAAAGGGAGAAACTGGCACAACAGCAATTACAATATAAAAGATACAGTGATATTTGTGTGAGATTTTCTTGGCTTGATTCAGGAATCATGGACAATTTCTTGGTTTTCTTCTGAATGTTTAATTCTTGTTCTTTCTGATGGCTTGAACTTGAGCTTTTTTGACTACAAACAAAACAATCCCTTTTTAGTGGTCTCAACATCACACATTCAAAAGAAGTTTTCTGTCTTGTTTTACAAGGAATATAGAATATTGTCTACTTTGCAAAGAAACAGAAACAGCAGATTAGTATTTGGTCATAACAGAATGCCTTTAAAACTTCATTTATAAATCTCTGCAACAATTTTATATTTAGTGGAACCATCCTCGGGAACCCAGGGGTAATCTTCTGTYKCTCGTTCCTCAYTCCCAGAAAAAATACCCCTGGGCACRAAGTCTGTTAGACCTTGTTCTCRATTCGAAATTCAAAATTCAAAATGGCTGAATTTCGAATCGAGAACAAGGTCTAACAGACTTCGTGCCCAGGGGTATTTTTTCTGGGAGTGAGGAACGAKCRACAGAAGATTACCCCTGRTTTCCCGAGGATGTAGTGGAAYATACTTACCCTGAATCTTTTCTAATACTTGCTTCTTCACATGTYGCCTCTTCATCATCTTCAGCCATACAATCATCATCCATTGCCCAGTCATCTAGGTAAGATTGGTCTTTGRCAGYACTTTGTTGAGAGGGTTGTTGTGATCCYTTATKTTTTGCAGTACTGCTCTGTGAATGTTTTGACTTTTCTGTAGCAGACASTTTACCATTTTGTAATTTTGATTTTTGTGAAGAGCTTCTAAGGAAATGAATATTAAATATAAGTAATTTGCTTAAAATTATTAAAATTATTATATATCTTTATTGTTCACTTTTTTGTCCTTTTTKCTTTCTTTCTTTCTTTTTTCATTCTGTTTTATAATATCCGTTGTTTAATACATCAATTTACATTCTCTTATTTATACATTCTTACATTRAGAAATTTAGATATTCCTCCATTCATTATCCATATATTTATCTATTCATTATCTATTCAACTTATTTTCCACCCTTTCAATTACTTTCCATTTTGTCATTCATTTATTTATTCATTGTTCATATTTCCGTCCTTTCTATCTTTTCTCATTTTTTCATTTATCAGTTCATTCACATTTCTTTCTTTTAATCATTTCTCATTTTTTTACCCTCACTTAAATTCATAAGCTCTTTACTTACTTAGTTGATGGCGCTTGCGATGATTGACTTGCTTGTTGTTCATCTACCAGTGTTGCAAGAACAAAATCTCCTTCATATGTTGAGTTTGTATCCATGCTGAACACTATAGGTCTGATCGAATAAATTCATTTTAGTTCCCGAGTCAATAGAAAGGTAATTCATCATTATAATAGATTGCTTGGAAATAAGGTTCAGTCTTTACATCTTGAGCTTTAACGATACTCCAGTASTCAAACCTTGTAACAATTACCTTTTTTTTAAAAGACTTCTGATATATTACATAAATATTATTAAGTTTTTCTCTGGTTTCTATTGGTATATTTTTTAAAGTCTAAAAAGAATGTATGCACACTGCCTTATGTGAAAGAACAAATCTCTAAAAAGAGACTGATATCAAGCACAGAGGTACATTTACAAAAATCCATATTTGATATCTTGAGTGTTCATGTGTTTACTGTAAATTTCCTACCACTAACCAAGTATCTGAAAATATAACTTTTATCACAGACACAAGAATATAATGCACYTACTTTCCTCCTGTTTCAAAGTGAACGTTTAAYGGTTGACCTGACATATCCCCAAATGCTAAAATYGCCTGAAATATGAATCAATAAGGACTGCTATTAGTTTCAAATAAGCTGCTTTCATGCTATTTTGTTAAATGAGCATTCATTAGGTTTTTATAAAACTTTCACTCCCCAGTGAATGCTAGTGCTCATTAACAACCTGGGTCAAGGCTAGGAGAGAGTAAAGTGTCTTGCCTAAGGGCACAATGTGACCACCTKGTAGCAAGAAATCAAACATAACCCTTTGGACCAACCATTCTACCCTCCAGATCATTATTCATCACTAACAAGGTACAGCTTCTCAAGAAATCACTAAGAATGGCATTGAATGGCAAACAGTAAAGAAATGAAGATGTAATTTTATGTCAGTATTACCCTTAGTTCCTTTAGACAAAATGTGATGTCAGTATCAACTCCTATCTGATAATTGTCAAACTCTTCAGGACTTAGACTCATTTGGGTGTGAATGATTTTGTTTGGATCTAAAATCAAAAAAAGTCGAAAAYAGAGATAAGCACCAGTCAGCTGAGAAGAACTGAGACTGAGAAAAGGCAGAAACGRCCTCAAGAGTCTCTTTAATGAGGAAGAAATTAGTAACAATAAAAAGAAGGGACGAGCAAGTTTATGCAGCTGTTTTTAGTGCTAGACTTCCTGTTCTCGTCCTGTCCTAAAAAGTGGAACAGGAAGCCCATCAGGAAAACAATTGCAAGGAGGCTAAAGGAGAGGACGGTCTGGAAAAAGAAACCGACAGGAATGGGGAAGAAACACCCAAGATATACTTAAGAAATGATAAAAAATGGGATAAAACATAAGGAAGGTAAGTGATTTGTGTTCTTATCTGCTCTAGTCAGCACATACAACATATCAATATTATTTCTAGTAATAAAACAGTTGTGACTTGACCATATTTACCTTACAAAGAGATTTGTGAAGTTAATACATTCAAATTTGTAATTATATTTTTATACTGTCTGATGTGTCAAAAAGTAAAGTTTTATATACTTGTTTGTAATATTATTGAATCAGTCTAAAAATAAGATATACCTGGCTCATCGTCAGTATAATTCTTTAACACTGTAACTTCAGGGGTGACTGATAATGTCAGTTCTTCTTGGTTATTAGGAAAGTTGCTAACAGCATCTGATAAAAGCCTGAAACATTATTAAGTTTCTGTTCAGTACATTCTGGAAAAGGGTGTTGTTTGTTTTATTCTTGTTTTTATACTTGTTGCTGTTTATTGGTCTTGTTTAACAAACAATACAAAGAGTTAATCCAAATGAAATGTTTCTTGATGGAAATGAAATTGCCATTATACTTACTTTGGTTGTGCAGTTACAAAATTGGGGCATAAATCTTTAGTAAAGACTGCTTGGAGAGTTTCACACTCTTGAAATGTAAGGTTATGAGTTTTAGTGATTCCTGAAAAAAAGACAATTGTGAGTTTGAAAAAACTGACAATTCTTTTGCTGCTATTGGGTAAACGTAGTTACAATCAAACCTGACCATATCAACATATTGAAAATGATGATCTTAGTTCAATATTATGAACAATAAAACATGAGAGTCTAGAACTTGAAAAGCAAATAACATACAATCACATTACCATGTCTGCAATAGAGCAAGAACACAAGTCTTCCCTGGCGGACATTAAGATCAATTTTACATCTGTCTACATTCTTGTCAATGCTGTTCATAGACTTGAAGACAATAAGACATGACTGCAACATGGAAAATAACACAAAACAAAAACAAAAATTCAGTAAAAATGAGTGAACTCGATAAATGTGTGAAATTACACAACTTTACACTAATTCTGCAACTGAAACAGAAAATCCTTCAAATAAATTGTAAAATATCTCACAGCATAATGTACAATCAACTATGATAAAATGTTCTGAAAATCAACAAATTATAACCTTCATGGCAATTTTGCATTTTAACATGTCCTCAGCTTGAGAATCATCTGCCAAGTCTTTACTCCCATCATCATAACTCAAGAAGAAACTGGAATGAAACTTGAAGCATGCATAGGCTGATCTTGACAAGTTCACAGTCCTGAGTGCCAGCTGTAGATAAATCAAGTAACGAAAAAAAAGCATTTCATTATCAAAAATTAAAAAAAATAACATCATTGTGATTTATAGATACAATTAGTCTTTATTTTACCATTGTAAATCACATTATCAAAATGTTAGAAATATGCCTGGTTCAAAAGCTCACGTGTGGCTGAATATTTTTTTGTCGAATTACGATAAAATTCAAAATTAAGCTATATAAACTTACTCCATCGGGTAATGCTTCAAGGTAAAGCTCATCTCCAATTTTAGACAAACAATGAATAGCTTTGGCGAATACTGAAAGCAAAAGTAAATCATAAATTGTACATTTGAAAGTTGTCTGATCATTTGCAAGTGTATAAAACATACATTTCAGTGACCGTCCAGGCACTATACACTTCATGTCTTCATTGCTTTTCCATTTATAATGAAACAATAGCTTATACCAGTCTTTTTAAGTCATTTTCCAGTTCAAGAAGTGAATACAAGGTACACGTTTGTGTAGTTTTTCCTCTGTTGACTTGAAATGTAGTGAATTCAAAATGGCGCCAAAACAAAAATACCGCAGGCTCAGATGCCCAATACACAGRTAACCCAGCAAGACAACACTTTTTTATTCAGTTTCATTTTTTTATTCATTCATTCATTTAATTATTTATTTCTGTTTTAATGCAGTGAGGCATTATTAGAAACTGTTGATTAAAATTAACGGAGGGAAGATGCATGTTAAATTGGGGTCTTCAAATTGGGAGAGGGGTCCACCTTAACAATTAATGCCCCAAGCTCATTTAAGCGTGGATTTCACTAGCACATAAGCATAGGCATAAGCACGAAGCACGAGAGTCATGTGCGCCAGTGAGAACGGGCTCAAAATAAGCATAAGCATGAGCACAAGAAAAACGAGCAAGGCTTGATCTTCTTAAGTGCTTATCTCATGCTTATCTCATGCTTATGTTCAGTGAGAACGGGACTGCATAGGCATAAGCATAGCCTGATACCGAAATAATACTCTCATGCGCATGCTCAATGTCTTATGCTTATGTCGAGCCCTTTCTCGCTGACGCATATGATTCTCATGCTTGTGCTTCTGCTATGCTTATGCGCTAGTGAAATCCACGCTTTAATAATTCTTATAACATTGAAAATTATATATTTAATAAACTATTGAAATTTTATAGACAGGAAGTGTGATGGTATTAGCACAGTGTGTATGTATTGACACATTATTGTAATCAGCTAATCAATAACACAAAAACTCATATGAGTGTAGTATAAAATATAATATATAGAGGATATTACATGGGCGCGCAGAGATACGGATTTTATCTTCGAGTGTTGAAAAGATCTCACGAGTGAGCGTAGCGAACGAGTGGGAGATTTTCAACATGTGAAGATAAAATTCGTATCTCCAAGCRACCATTCTGTTTATCATATATTTTATGTAATGGAGAAATATAGGTATTTCATAGATAATTATATGATAAATATATATATGATATATATCAAATAGTATTTCCAGATGTTTACAATCTTGATTTTTCCTTTAAATGGAAATGGAATTTAAAGGGAATGCAATATATTATATAGTAAGCAGAAACATCTGCCTAGGTCAGCTGGAATTGAACTTCTCCATTAATTGAAGGACCTTAAATAAGTGACAACTGGGAAATACACTCATCTCAGGTCTTCCAACCAAGCGATATCCTAGTTTTTGAAAAAATCCAACAGACCTTTCTGCACTTTCAACTCTAACTGGTCGCTTTAGCTTCAGTCGTAGCATTTGTTCCATATGTAGGACCATATGTGTTCCATAGCCATGTCCCTGTATACAGAATGGTAAATACAATCAGAAAGTATTGAAACAACAATAGAATGATTTAATTAATTCTACTAACCTGGAAATCTTTATGAACAAAGAGAAAGTCAATCCAGTGATAAAAGTGTCTGTCTTTTGAATCAGTAACACTTTCATCAGCACTTCTACAACTTGCCACACACCTAGTTTCATCTACAATTAAACATTCTATTTAGTCTGCTGTTTGAACTCAGAAAATATGTGATTTACATGCAGCCTTTTGAGATTCATTTGTGCTCAAGATTTCATTCCCAGATATTTTGCTAATTTAGGTCATTTTTCTAAGAGAAAAACACGCATTTGAATTATTGAGAAGAGCCGGCCTGAATAGGCCTCAATCATTTTCCCTCCTCCAGAAAAGATCTCATAGAACATTATTACAATCAATCAAAGGAAAAAAGAAGCCAGTCTATGATGCTAGCATAGAATAGAAAGATATAGCATAGCTCTATATATTTATTTTGGTTTGATTGTACGAGAGAGAGTGAACGAAGGGACCCTTACTTCCTAAGTCACCAAAGAGCACAATGGTCAAATCTCGCGCTGGCTCCATTGATTCGCCACAGATGTCCCTTGCAATTGTCCTAAATGTCCTTCTATTCTTTACATTGTTGGCTACTTCGTAGATGTTAATGCATGGCTCAATCCAACCACATTCACTACAAAAAATATGTTCTTGAAATTCTTTACATTGAATAAAATGGACTTGTTAATTAATCCAACGAGATCTTAGAATAACTTTTGTCTTTCTCACATTGAAACGATTTTCTTGTTCATCCTTACCTGTTATCATCCATTACTTTTCATGAGATATTATTAAATTTTCTCATCCTCACAGCAAGAAGCCTTCTTTTTTAAGAAAATCGCAATAACACCAAGAATCATTCTTTATAGCCACATGATCGTGATACACTAATGATAAAAATCGAAAGGCGTTCCTCACTAGCACAGGGAAACCGCGCTGAATACTCAGCTTATATTGCATGTGACGTCAAAGCAACTTCGCCTGGAGGACAAAACAAAGGATTTTTGCCCTCGAGAACTTCTTTTGTCCTCTACCCGGGGGGGGGGGAGTATCAAATGAAGTACTGAAAAATAGTTGAAATAATGACAAAAAACACTGGTGGGTTCAGCTCTATTTCACCAATTTGTATCACAAAACAAATATGTGAAAGTGAACGATTTTGTTTTATGATGCAAATCAGAGGCCGGTCATCCATGGGTTAGATTCTGTAACTCGGATTTTTCCCGAGTTCAATTTCCCAAGAATGTATACTTTCTATTTTATAGTAAATTTCAAAATCAAGTACAGTTCCAAATACAATATCAAAACATCGTAAGACTTTTATTTCTCGATTTCATTAATATTTACATTAAAGAGTGGTTTGACATATCTTTAACAATATTTCATTTCTGTACATCATAAAAATTTCAACTTCTAAAACCCTGAAAGAGCTAAACTCACTGACGGATCTTACGTCATATAATTTATTTTATAGCACTATATGTAACATTTAAATATATGCTACTCATTGATGCTTAATTTCTACATAACAACTGAACATTGGTAATATTGCAATAATCAACATTTTATACATTTGTTTTCTTTGTGAAAATGCAAGCATAAGCAATTAAAGAAAATGTTTCATCAAATGCGTACGTTATATTAAGCGGAAAGTGAGAATGGATGTTTCTTATAAAACAATTGCTTAGTATGCACAGCTGACAATGAAGATGCATTCTCTGAGATGCCGAGCGTGGGATTGCACAGATTTTGGCACAAATTGAAAAAGGCATGATCATAYTTCATCATTTTTTTAAGAAAAAAAAACTTAGCAGCATTGCCTTGAAAAGTTAAAAGAAACTCATCATAACCTAAAACGTTTTCGTGGTGCCATGATTCATATTTTTTTCAAGCAAAAATTTACAGCTTGTGCACTTTATTTTTCTTTCTTTCTTTGCAATAATGCTGTGTTTTTGCTAAAGCTATAATGACTGCATGTCTTCCTAATAAATAATAATTATTATTTATAAAGCTCTTAAAAGTGTTCTATCCTACTGCATCTTTGAAACTATGAGATACAATATAAAATTCCCATATTAAAATGATGAATTCTCTGTGAATGCCACAAATATGGCTAAATTTAAGTACTTTTTTGTACCTTATGAAATATAAGTTAGAAGGAAGCTGCAAAAACATGTATATTGTTTTAATATGGGAGTTAACAATTTATGACATACAATATAAGAAGCTGATAATAAATAACAAAAATGAGTTTCTATTCCTGCAGTGTAAAAAATCAGTAAAAAGCTAGCAGCATAAAAGATGTGCAAGTCTAAATTTGTTTGCATTTAAAAGTGTTAATAAATCAAAGCCATTTGTCTGTCAGTAAAACATTAGGCGAGTGATTTTTAAGAAGCATCTAGAAAAATGAAATAAATCTTACTAAGATAGTAAAACTTATAAAAGGTATACATAGTGTACGCAGACACAAACAATCCACATACAGAAGGATTGCTGGAGTTTCATTGGCCACCATAGAAAAAGCTTTGTTGACACCTTATTTATCTCATTTGGTTTCATATTATTCCCTAGCCTTGCTAAATATAGCACAATTCTTCAAATGAATCTTCATCAGAAAAAATACCAAATTCCCAGAACTATATTGTATCAAGCCAGTATGCATTTTGAGTAAAAAATTAAATACTGCATACCTCATGAATAAGAATAACATTATCTAAAAGAGACAAAAACATCAGCTAATATTTCCTCTTCCTACTATTAAATAATTATCTATCTGTAAAAACCTATTTGATCTTATATCTAAGTTTCAAAATATTCTAGAGTGTAAAGCATTAAGTGAGCTTTTTGAAATTATACCATGGGTGTGTGTGTAGCTTCCAAAATTAGGTTGATGGATAGACGTGTTTGATACTTGTTTTCTTGAGGGTCTGTAAGGAGGTTTGGCAGATGATGGCCGCTGTGATGGAATCTGTTATACAACAAAGAAAAAGAACCTTCAAAGTCATGAATGCAACTATCATTACTTTGTTCTACATGTAAATTTTCTATGGAGCACTTTTAAAACACTTCAAAATGAATCACAAAATATTTTGTTTTGTGAGCACATACCAAGCGTGCACTTGTAACATGTAGTCCATCTGCACTGTTGGTTCTTGTTATAATAGTGTTTCTGGGCTTTATTTGGGCAGAAATTGGCCTTGTTCTTCCAGCAGCTTGTGCAGGTCTACTACCAGCCATCATCTTTAAATAAAATAATAAAAATATTATATAAATAAAGTTAAGTACCATTGATTGTTTTTCAATACAACAACTGAAGGTGAACATACATTGTCATTTTCCAGGCTATATCTTCTGACATGGCCAAGTCTAGATGGTGGTTTTGGTGGCGTTGATACTTTTGTTGTTGTTCTTCCAAATGCAACTGTCTTACTGGCATCCTGTTTTACAGGAGGTGACTTGACAATAGGGCTGGTAGACATCATTGTATTGTTTTCTACTTGTTTAAGAGGTTCACTCTCCCTTGGTTGTTGCTGTTCTTTTACTTGTTTTGCTGGATTGACTGAAGATTGCTGAGCTTGCCTTTGCTCTCTTAATTCTTCTTGGAGTAACTCTCGTCTTTGTCTGCGGATGTTTGTTTTCTTCTCAACAATACTCTGCAATTATTATAGCAACTAGTTATAAAACATAGATATACACCATTTCTTAGACTTTCACAAAGTCCCTGTTATCCTCACGGCACAGGGACTATCGACTTTTTCAAAGTTTTAGCAACTCTGAAAATTTACAAATTTTCCCTTTATTTTTGGACTTTATTTACAGACATTTTTTACGCTAATAATATGTACTTTTATCAAGCCAATCAACACTTGTTATTAAATAAGGTAGAAAACCACATACCTCATAAAGTTTCACTCTGTACTCTTCTACAGTAAGTTGAACATCATCATCTAAGGGAGGTACTATGTCATAATCAAGTGAAATCTCTTCTTCAGGATTGTGGAACTTTGAAACATATGGGTGTGCCAAAGCCTGTTCAGCTGTTAATCTTTTATCAGGATTGAAATGTAACAGTCTCTTCAGAAGGTCAATAGCATCTGATGGTGCATGTGGTAGCATATCTTCTAAACATTTTTTGGGTTTGAAAGCCATACGGTCCAACACTGAGGAGCTGTACTGGGACTTAATGCTGTCCAAGTCTAAATCAAAAAGGAATTGTTAGTCTGGAAACTGAGACAAAGACTACTTTTTACTATACTTATATTGTTATTAGAGATATGGGTCGGAACAGAAGTAATACATTAAAAGACAAGAGACTTATCTAAGCTTAATTTTTTTAAGTATTTATTAACTACAACATGTAATTAACTGGATAAATATTAAAATTGTTATTATTTGTCTTTGACATTATGCTCCTTCACACAAGAGCCTTTACAGACACACTATCCTCAACAGCTTCCTAACTAATTGACACAAAAAACCATAAAACCACAGACTGTTTCATAAATAAATCCAGTATATCATCATGTTGCTTTATAAATTATCTTTGCCTTTCTGCTTAAACATATTTTCTACATGTTATCTTTCAACGAAATATTAAAAACAGTATCCATCTCAATCTGCAGCTGCTGTAGTATTTTGTGTATAATTAAGTAAGGTTTTTTCAACTAATACCAGTTTTGACAAAAATGTAATTTAATCACCTAGTCTAGTAGGAGCTGTTATTGATGCCATAATTTTTTCAATTTGGTTTAGTGTAGAACTTCCAGGAAATAATGGTTTTCCTGGAAAAAAGATAGAAAAATAAGGTAAAAATTTGACTTAAATGAAATTATGGTGTCATGTTTAAGATGGTTGTAAATTCTACCCAATGGAAGTCAATTGAATACAATTACCTAGTAATAGCTCTCCTAATATACACCCTATAGACCACATATCAACACCTTTGGTGTACCTACAAAAATGTTACAAGATATTAGCATATTGAATGAAATTTCAAGGCTGTTTGAAGACTAGATACATAGCCTAACAGTAAGCCATTACCAACACCTATAATTTAGCATCGGTTTTGTAAAATAGCTAGTATAACATAGTTGTTTTATCAGCTCTTATAGAGCCAAAACATAACTTGAGAAAACCATCTTTCTTTGATGTTGTCATTAACTTTTTTTTTAAACTGATCATTTTGTTAATGAAAATTTTAAAAAGGCATATAAGATTGCTGTAGAATCAAGAAATATTCTCATGTAAATTCACATACCTTGTTGATGCCAATAAGATTTCTGGTGCACGATACCATCGTGTTGCAACATAATCAGTCAAACTAGGATCACCTGCTTCCTGAGTTGTATTTGTAACAGACCGGGCTAAACCAAAATCACATATCTACAAAAAAACATACATTTAGTTTAAGATTTTTAATGACACACAATCAATAATTAGACAATTCTTGATGGACTAAAAATTTATTTCTCTAATAAAATGAAAATTAAGATTTTCATGGAATGGAATGGAATTTGAGTCTAAAATTCAATTTGCCATTACCTTAACAAAACATTCAGTATCTAGAAGGAGATTACTTGGCTGTAGAGAGAAAATTAATGCACATACATCAGTGCTCAGTTGTACAAATGTGCAAAGAAATATAATATACTAATTCTAGACTACTGGATATAGGACACAGGGAATAAAACAGTGTTATTCTTCATACTATACTGTACAGCTCTTGATAAAAATAACATGAATCTTCTGTTTGTTTTGATCACAAAAATAATGATTACATAACAGATGTTGACAAGAAAAAAGGCAAATTATAATAAAGAAACAACAGTTGATCCCCTGCAAGCTTAAAAATTTTTACAATTTATATTCATTGACCTACAATAGCATATAGTGTGCATGATGTTATAAAGATAATTTCTTTTTATTATCAGGAGTTCAGAGAACTGAGCAGCTGAAAAAATGTGTTCAGAAGCTACTCGAGAGACTTCCTGTTTAATTTGATTATGGTATGAAAACCAATTATTAAAAGTACCTTTAAATCTCTATGAATTACATTCCCTGAATGCATGAACTTTATTGCTTTCAGAAGCTGCAAATATATAAGAAATACATGTTTACGCATGACCAACAAAACTGCAATATGGTTCAAATTCAATTTTTTTAAGTAAAAGATGCAAAGATATTTAACTGATGACATCAATTGGGTCCCAGCAGTGCACTCTCTGTTTGATATCTTTTGGGACAAAATAACTGAACAGCAACTATGACTCATGGAATAGAAATTTACAAGAACTAACCTGGTACATGATATATCTTTTGTGTATGTCTTTGAGAATATTTCCCTTCTTAATCACATTATGTAGATCAGTGTCTGAAAAATTTAAAAAAAATTTAATACCTTCGTTATATGAAAAGTTGATATTTGCAGTAATATCTATTTTGTTCATGGATGTTTAATGAGATATCAATCTCAATCAAGCTATAAATAAATTATAAAAATTCTATAAATTTCCCTGTAATAAACCAATTTTTTTAATTTCAGACAGATAAAAGAAAATTACCTAAATAACAATAATTTTAATATTGTGCAGTTCAATAAATATGTTTTGGCTGTAATGTACTGAAATAGGATGCAATACATATAAACTAGACATAGCTTAGAAAATAAAACTGGAAAACTTTTATTGGAATGTCAGAAATTTCAGTGGGCACATGTTCGCTTCACACACGTCACGAGTCCAAATGATTTGAGGGAGTTAGTTCAATGGGTGCTTCTCTTGACGTAAATATATTTACGTCAGTGTTATATACTAGTAACAACAAAAATCAAGAAACAAGTACGACAGACTGTTCAAACTTTGTGTAGTAGGCCCTACAACTGAATGAAAAAATTGCGAAATGTGATCCACGCCGCGTGCTCTCAGGAAATGTCGTCACATGAAACAAGTTTTCCCTTAGTAATATGAACAGCATAACATTTACTTTGTAAGATTTTTATTATAATCTTAGTTATACAGCCATTCAAATTCACTTTTTTAAGGATTTTTTCTTGATAATGAAATTTGGACTACAAACGACCACGTACTCACGCGACCGGACGTGAACTTTCAAATCTAAAGGCAGGATCTACTACACGTAGTTTCATGAATATCAAAAAAAAACGAAAATCTTTAGCTCACATGTAACAAAAATCCATCAAGATATTAGAATTTTCATAAAAACAATTAATGCCGAAAGTAACGCCATATTAAGTTGAGTTAAGTAATAATTTATAGTTTTAAATTCTTGATGAAGATACTCTGGAATAACTAACTTAACTTACCCATATATTCAAACACTAAATAAATATCTTTATCATTATCTGCTTTGATGACATTCAACAGCTTGACTACATTTTCGTGGTCGCCAAATTCCTAACATACAAGCATAAAAAATATTTGTTTATTCATGATCGTGTAATTTTTACATAGACGTCTTCAAGTACCAACAAAACCTATAGCTATTAAGTTTAAACAACCAAAAGAATGTAGACGAAAGAAAGATATTGGAATTACCTGAAGAAAGCATATTTCTCTAAATGTTCTCTGAAATCAAGAAACGATTTGATAAGAATTCGAATTATAAAAACAGTAGTGTTTGATGAGTGTCGACCGAGGACGCTCTACTCAAAACCACAACATGGCAAGTTCCCTCGACTGGAAGTTGTACCTGTGCGTCAGTTTGGTTCCTAAATGCATCAAATATCTTTTTAACAGCTACCAATTCGCCTGTTTTACGGTCTATTCCTTTCCACACGATCCCATAAGCCTGTAATACAAAGGAAAACGGCAAATCGTAATAAATTTCGTTTGAGCGCCATTTTCAACAAACGGGTAACTTCGGTTCGACTGTAATCTTGCCAAATTAACTTACCCCTTTTCCCAGCCTTTKCTTGATTTCATATTTCTTGGTTATATGACTATCTATTTCAGAACTCATTGTTTTAACCTTGTTTTCTTATCATGGAATGACTACTTTCTTGTTGTAGGCCTAGTGGGACTCTGATCTCTCAGCGTTCTTTGTGGTTTAAAAGCCGCTTTTGTGAACCTCTGTGATGTGATTGGCTGAACTTCAATATTTATGATAAATAGTTGGTATGGCAACGTTTCGTTGGCTTGTAACGCAATGCTGTAAAATCATAAATGCTGTTGATATCACTTAGAATGCAAAGATTAAGCTTAATTTCATCTCAAAAGTGTTATACACAGCTTATTTTTCATTTTTAAAGAAGTTTTGACTTTGAAAAGAATCCATTTTTGGAAATTTCTATCAAAACAAAACATATTGCGTTACATCGTGATAATACGTCATATCCATAAGGAATCAGCTGTTGCCTAGACTGCGTACATAACAGAATTTTTGTAACAGTATTACATCACTTGAGGAAGAACTCAAATAACTTTGCGGAAATATATAGCTTAGTTTGGGGTCGAATTTCAAGTCATAAAAAATGTGGCTTTCAGATCCTTTTTGCATGCTTATTAGTTGATATGACGTCAGTAGTATTTTAGGGACCACCAGGAAGAAATAAAAAAATATTCACCGTTTGTTTTAACTTGACATAAAGCATCTAATATAAAAATTTTCTAAAAACATTTGCTTAGAAAAAATATATATATTTGCAGTGTAATAATGTAATTTTCCCTTTACTACAAAGTTATTGGTATGCATAACTGTGATTACTTTAGAATATGTATAACACTCTCATGTACAGACAATTGCACAAAACGATATAAATATGGTATTGTCTGTATTGTGTTGTATAATCGCCATTGCAGTGTGAGCGGATCCCTTTCTAGCCTTTTGTTCATTACAGGCTGCGCATATAAAACTCGTATCAGGAAATTTTTAGATCGCATACATTCTTATGTGACCTTATGCGATCCATTTTCGGTGGTTTTGTGTATAAATCGATAGGTTTTTTCGCGTCTAATGGAACATTTCGTACTCTGAATTTACTCGACATTGGTAGATTTGTTTGACTTTTCAGTTAATTTTTATAATACACGTAAATGTCAATTATTTTTATATTCAATTATTTAGACTGCAAACTTCTCGTGAAATACATGCAAGCAAGAACTTCTAACCTGCATACCAAAATATGCCGCGTTTTCGAAAATATCACATATGATAAGCGAATTCTCAGTTTACAAGCAAAGCGTCACGACGGAGTAGTTTTGTTAAAAACAGCATATCAGCGAAATTGAGATTCGRTGAGTGTCAAGTCAACCAACTGAACATAGATACTTACATACATTATAACAACGCAAATATGAAAATTAGCCAATGAGAACTGCCATAAGTGATCACGTGATTCTTTCTGTTGGTATTTGAGGGAGGCAACGTAAATGCTCACGTGTGTTGACTTTGACAAGAAAGAAGAGCAGGGAGAGAGCAACATATACTGAAAACTGCCTTTTCTGTATTTCTACTTGTTTCTTTTTTACTAAAAAAGATCCTGCACTATCAAGTTGTGGTCTTTAACAAAAAGGTTCCTTGTCAGAGAGATTCAAGTTAGAAATATCGCCTGTTCATCCCGACTGAGAAGTGAAGTGTCATGGCGTCCGACGTTCAAATGCAAGGTGACTTTGAACAGTTCATGACTTATCTGTTTCTTTATCAAATCATCGTAGTGTACATTGAAACCAAATACTTATGCTTGAAATACTATTTTAAAGGAGAAAAACCAAAAGCAGTTGCATTTGAAGTGTGGTTTAGGCCAGTAGTCGAAAATGCTCGTACTCCAAATTTTTCACCGTTGCGAGGAGATAAAAATGTCAGTAAAGAATACCTGATGAAGAAACTGAAGGAAGCTGAGATCAGAAAAAAGGTGTGTAGCATTAAAATCGCCTTTTTTGCTTGCCTAAAATCGTCAAAAATAACTAACTTCAAAAAGTCAAAAATCATGGACAATGTCTTCAGAACAAAATGCAAGCTCAGCAACAGTTACGAAGTCTTCAATGGTTTGTTACAGTCAGAGAGGTTGCCTTGCATGTATTTCAGCTTACTTACAAGACAAACTATATTGCTTTAATTAGTATAGAGCGCAGTGATTTATTTTTCTATAGCTTATTTTGTTTCACTCTGATATCACCAGAAACTCACCCTTCATAGTTTGGCAAAGTTGGCAGCTAAACAACAATACATCCAAAAAGTCAGGGCAAGTGCTGATCAACAAGGAAAAATTGCAGAGGCTAAATTGAAAAGCAAAATGGAAACCTATGGCGAGAACAAGAATGCAATTGAAAAAGCATTGCACACTCGACTGAATGCCAAAGAGGAGCGCATTAAAGATGTTAAGGCAAAGAACCAGGCTCTGATTGACTCGCAGTGCAAGGAAATTGAGGAAAAAATCCAGAACAAGCTTGTACAAAGCGAAGAAAAGACAGAAGCATTGAGACAAGCACTGAAAGATAAGCTTCAAGCTCATGATCAGAAGTTGAAAGAAGCAAAAAATGTTGTCCAAGAAAAGGTTGAAATGCACTCCAAGATCACTGAGGAGAAACTGCAGAAGAAGATAAAGATCTCTACTGAAAAGAGACAGACCTACATTGAAAGCCTTAAAGAGCGTGTTCATGACCAAAATGTCACAGCTGAACAGAAGAAACAGATACATGAAGAAGAGTGCGCTCTCATTCAGCAGCTATATGAAGAAAAGCTTCAATCCAAAATGGTGAAATATGGGGAAAATCGTACAGCTCTGCTGAAGGCTAAGCAAGATCAACTGCATGCTCATAATTGTCTTGTTAAGGAGAAATGTATCTCAGCCAAGCAAAGGAAGCTAGCACAGAGAGGTTAAACAAATACAAACATATTTTGATTTGGTGAAACTTTCCACTTTCCAAGATGATGTAAATTACTTGTTATTGTATGGTACATTCCTGTATGTACATGTTTAGTCATTAATTACAAGTTATGTAAGTTCACATTTAATGACAAGTTGTTCCTACTTTTGTGGGTAAAACTGCAAAACCCCTAAAATATTTGATTGATGCACCTAAGTTGTAAATTATTCTATTGGAGTATTTCTTGACTATCAGGTTTACTCTCATGAGAAAATGTTTTCACTCAAAGGCTTTTAGTTGTGGCACAAGAGGTCCAGTTTGAACTTCAGAACTGAATCCTTCACAGTATACACTGTGGTTATACCTTGAATCATTTGCATATTTCGGGGCAAAGCACTCCGTAAGCTTGTAAAAGGATATCAATGCAAAATAATTGTCCTGGCTATGAACAAACTAGGTATTTATTATGAATGCAAGCTTACTCTTACTGTTAATCTCGGTAATCTTACTTCCATACAATCCATGGCCATGAAACCATACTCATTCATTTGGTTGTGCCATTGATTGTAAAGGCCAGTTCACACTGAACAGCTAGGCCTTTATGCATCAGTATGAGCTCATCAGTATTGCTCTGAAATATTTCTTACATGTAGCATCAGTGTATATACTTTGTTTAACATAGGGGTCATATTTGTTTGTAAATGTTGTGAGTTAATGACAGTTTTGGTTCATGCAGCCATTTAAAAATATTAAAAAAAATTGAAATAATTTTGTTGAATAAATTTAAATAATGATTTGTAGCCTGTAAATTTATTTTGCATATTATAGGTATACAGTATATGCAATATCCATCAATCCCTGTTTCATTACATCTGCTCAATGTAAGCTATAGCACAGCACAACAAAGTCAAAAAAAAAACAATATTCCTGTGAAAGAGTAGAGTGATCGCTGAACTGTGCAACTGTACAAAATAACATAATAGATTAACTATGTTTTAAAGTATGTCACTCTACCGTCTTGCTTTTTAGGTCCACTTTTAGTTAACAAATAAATAATGCTCAGCCGTGGTTTATACTCTGATAAACGCATGCTTGGTATTATACACACGAGAAAATGTCAAGAAGCGTTAGAAATCATCTACATATAATAATACAAATTAATACTACGATTTTGTACAGTTGCATGCTTTAAGTGCATTATCATTTTGTTCAAGCAAAAATCTTTTGTTTTGATCCCCAGAAGAAATTAAATTGCTGATATGAAACATACATCCATAACCATATTGTCAATATACAACTAAGGGTTTTTTTCCCTGAGATACAAAAACTGCTAAGCAAGCGTGTGTACAGGGGAAAGTTCCAAAGGGCACCACAAGCCCCTAGGTTTCTTTGAAGACTTTATTAGCCAAAGGATAAGATATTCCAACAGTCTTTTTTTTGGTGTGAATCCAAACCAACGCTCCAGCAATGACCCCTTTACCCCTAACCCCTCTCATCCCCCTCATGAAACCCATGCCTACCGCCCCTGCAAAGGATGAAGCACTATGACTATATTTGGAAGCCAGTAGTAGTCTATTGAGCTTTAAATATTAAGTACCATATTTAGGAGCATATGACGGCGTGAGGTCTGCTCTCGAAGAACGAGGTTTCTCCAAATTCGCATTACACCGTGACAAACCAGGAGTATGTAACATCGAAAACGGCAGGGTTACCAAGCAATCGTTGCCTGGCTGCTAAGTTTCAAAATGGTGGACAGTTGGCGGGAAACTTCGATTTAACTGAGTTTCTGTATTCTTCTCTTGTTTAAGAACACGAAATGCTGAATTCCTTTTCATATTTCAGTGTTGATATACATATATTATTTATCAAGTTTTGAAAGAGGTGAAAAATGCCTCCAGTTAGCATCGGAAAGATTGATGTGGATTTCCCCTTCAAACCGTACGCCTGTCAAATGGCATACATGGAAAAAGTGATCGAATGCTTGCAATCGGTATGTGTGTTGGTTACATGTAAGCAGTAGTCGTATAATGTCAGCTGTATTTAAAATTAATTGTAATGTTTTTGATTTGTTTAATGTTGCTTATAGTAGTGTTCAGAGTAACTTAACTTATTAGACTATATAATCTAAGCTTTAGCTTACTATATTTCCTATCAGAAAAAGAATGGAATTTTAGAAAGTCCAACTGGGACAGGAAAAACGCTTTGTCTTCTTTGTGCTACTTTGTCCTGGAGGCAGACTTATATAGCAAATATGCAGCTGCGACAAAGGATGTGCAATACTACATCTGAAAATGGCTTTAAAGACAGTTTGGGTAATCAGTTGGATGAAGCCACAGGAGGAGGAGATGAAGGTGAATCTAATAATTAAAGGAATGAAAGTATTAAGAGGAATAATGAATAATCTTGTTCATAAAAAAGGACCAGTCAAAAAAAATACAAAATTATGTGGTATTGAATGATCAGATGGAATTGAACAACATTTAGACAGGAAGTACTGCCCCTGCACTCTTAGATGACCATGCACCCTTGTAATTCATGTATAGAGATGCTTTATTAAGGAAGATTTCCATGACATAACCTTTACCTGTTTGCATGTGACCTGCTCATCTGTTTACAGTACCTGCTACTGTACAACAGTACTATCATAGGGCTATTAAATCAACAGTAACAGTGTACATGTACAATGATAATACTGTAAGGATGACCAAGGTTGCATACAATACTTTAAAGTATGTCTTCTTTTCAACAGGTTCTTTTTGTGAAATTCCAAAAATTATTTATGCTTCAAGAACCCATTCCCAACTCACCCAAGTGATTCAAGAACTAAAATCCACTGTTTACAGGTACAGTACATGTACTTTATATAAATATTCCTTTTCCCTTATTTTACATCATAACATCATTTTTGCTGATAGACCTAAAGTTAGCATCATTGGCTCAAGAGAACAGCTCTGCATTAATCCTGATGTACTGAAACAGGAAACAAATTCAGCTAAGGTCAAACACAATACTCTCTTTTACTATATTGTCCCTGGTGCAAATCCTGGCTAAGATCCTGACATGATCCTGTATAAGATCCTATTCAAGATCCTACAAGATCTTGTCAAGATCTTGCTGAGGATCCATTGAGGATCCTATCAGGATCCTATTTCTACTTAGGATCTTACATTAGAATGTGATCCTGTATAAGATCCTATTCCTACGCAGGATCATGCTCAGGATCCTAGTTAGGATCCAGTTCCTAAATAAGATCCTACAGGATCCTGTCTAGGATTTGCACCAGGGATAGCAATCACTTGACAATCAAGAAACAAGATGGTAGACAGAAATCCTTTGTCAATGAAACAACAGCATGGTTGTTGTAAATTGAAAACATGCAATATTATTCAAACATATGACAGCTGCTTAGGGTTATATCCATCTTTGCTTTTTTGTCTTAGGCAAAAGAAAATGTTTGCTATAGAAACCAAACTTTCCATTTAACCTATTAAGTAATGTATACTGATGATACTTATTGAATTGTAGATCCACATGTGTCGAAATAAAGTTTCAGCAAGAACATGCCAATTTTTCAACAATTTGGAAGGTGATTCATTTACAATGATTTTTTTTCTTATACCATTATTATTTATTATAAAATGTTCTTTTGGGATATGATTATCTGTTGAATATGTTTTCTTTCCAGCTAAAAAATCAGAAAGGGATTTCGTATCAGACATTCTTGACATTGAAGATCTTGTAAAACGAGGTCAGAAGCATAAGTAAGTCCTGAAATATTGGATGAGAGTGCAGATAAATAAATTTAAGATAAATTTAACGATAATTTTTATGTCATTTCAATATTTACAAGTCATTTATCTTCATTTCTGTTTAATTCTATCAGGGCTTGTCCATACTACATGGCTAGAGAGCTAAAAACAGGGGCAGACATAATATTTATGCCATATAACTACTTACTTGATCCCAAGGTATGCCATAACAGAATGAATTTAGGCATTTAATCTTAATGTATTGTGCACATGCCATGACGTAACTGCAATCCTAATGTGATCGGTTAAAAATAGAGAATCTTCATATTTTTCTCAAAACCCCTGAACAGTTCAAGTTGATATCATTATTTTGATCTATTTCCAGTCGAGAAAAGCTCACAACCTTGACCTTGCTGGAAGTGTTATAATCTTTGATGAAGCTCACAATATTGTAAGTAACAGGGCTCTCAGTATTAAATGTCAGCTTAATGCAGGCTAAAGGAGATTTAAACACTAGGGGCTTCAAGACCTAGTTTTTGTCTTGTCATTGATGAATTTTCAATATTTTTTTTTTGTTAGGAAAGAGTTTGTGAAGATACAGTTTCATTTGATCTGACATCATTTGACATTGCATCTTGTGTAGAAGATGTGATTCTTTGTATGGAGTTCTTAGCTARTAAAGAGGAAGGAATTGAAATGGACGAGGAAGCAAGTATGCAGCATCTCATTTAGGTTAGAATTGTGAAATTAAATGTGTCAAGTAATAAATCAATTTTTGTGACAGATGTACAAGAAATTGATATAGAAGATGTGAAAACCCTGAAAGGTTAGTTTGAGAGTGATGCCATTTATGATATTTAAAAATGTGTTTTCAGTTGCACAAGTCACCATTATTACTCATGCCCAGGCATATGTCCACGGGCATGAGGGCATGAGTTTACACTAATATATTACATGATGTGTCAATAATGATTTTTTGACAATTTATTCACGCTTGGTTGAAWCTCCAGTTGCAGATATACTCTACCAATGAACACAAATTCAGTTAGGAATTAATTACAATTTTATCTTTTTAAGCTCTCTTTAGCAAATTAGAAGAAGAAATTGATAAAATTCCACTTCCCAAAGAAGGAGGACAATCATTTCCTTCAAGGTAACAATCAAAATGAAAGATGTAACATAAATTTTTTGTGAAGATTCTAAGATTCAATAACTTTTGAGATCAGTCTACTGCTCTTTTCTTCCTCATTGGTTAGTTTTCTTAGTAAGTCTTTGTCAATACAAAGTAAAATCCAAAATTTTCTTGTAGTTTTATGTTYGATTTGATGTCAAAGTGCGGGATTACATCAAAAACCAAGGTCAATCTATTGGAACTGCTTGAAAAGCTCAACCCAATCTTAGCTAGTGGTACGTGTTACACATTTGTTACTTGAACTCTTTATTATTGTTTTCTGAACTTWCATAAAAACATTTACATTACATTTACATTTCAAAAATGAATAAGCACATCTTTATTATGATGACATCTCTRCACAGTTTGCTTGTCTTCAGAGTATCAATACAAACATTCATGTAAATTTAAACACTCATTTTAGATACAAAAGGATTAAGAGGAAAGCATTATGCTCTTTCAAAATTTGCTGAAGCTCTTCAGGTAAGATGTAGAAATTAAATTTATGAATTGGTATAACTAAGGTGTTTGTAGGCTAGTGTCAGATTGTTGGTAGGCTGTCAGTAGGTTGTTGGTAGGCTGTCAGTAGGCTGTTGGTGAGCTGTCAGTAGGTTGTTGGTAGGCTGTCACTAGGTTGTTTGTAGGCTGTCAGTTGCTGTCAGTAGGTTGTTGGTGGACTGTCAGTTGCTGTCAGTAGGTTGTTGGTGGACTGTCAGTTGCTGTCAGTAGGTTGTTGGTGGACTGTCAGTTGCTGTCAGTAGGTTGTTGGTGGACTGTCAGTTGCTGTCAGTAGGTTGTTGGTGGACTGTCAGTTGCTGTCAGTAGGTTGTTGGTGGACTGTCAGTTGCTGTCAGTAGGTTGTTGGTGGACTGTCAGTTGCTGTCAGTAGGTTGTTGGTGGACTGTCAGTTGCTGTCAGTAGGTTGTTGGTGGACTGTCAGTTGCTGTCAGTAGGTTGTTGGTGGACTGTCAGTTGCTGTCAGTAGGTTGTTGGTGGACTGTCAGTTGCTGTCAGTAGGTTGTTGGTGGACTGTCAGTTGCTGTCAGTAGGTTGTTGGTGGACTGTCAGTTGCTGTCAGTAGGTTGTTGGTGGACTGTCAGTTGCTGTCAGTAGGTTGTTGGTGGACTGTCAGTTGCTGTCAGTAGGTTGTTGGTGGACTGTCAGTTGCTGTCAGTAGGTTGTTGGTGGACTGTCAGTTGCTGTCAGTAGGTTGTTGGTGGACTGTCAGTTGCTGTCAGTAGGTTGTTGGTGGACTGTCAGTTGCTGTCAGTAGGTTGTTGGTGGACTGTCAGTTGCTGTCAGTAGGTTGTTGGTGGACTGTCAGT